GTTTATAACGGAACAAACGGGTATCCATAATTAAGAAAACGCCTACCAGTGAACCATGACAAAAATGTAGCAAAAATGTTTAGCATTGTCAATTTTAAATATGTTTATGTACTTTCAATGAATAAACAACATATCAAAACAAAAGATAAAGAGATATTCACACGTAGAAAAACATATCCCGTTAACTTTTTGTGTAAACGAAACCCCACCAATAGTATAAGACAACCAGTGCCCATAATCGGGATTTGTTATAGGAAAATGGCCATGAAACAATATCCTCACGCGAATCAATGCATGGAAACCCGGAAAGTGAAACAGAGCCAAAAACGAAAACTACACAAATATCAAATGTAAGTGAATTAAAACAGTAATGTAATGCACCTCAAAATTTTTAATGGGATAACGGTGTCCTGTCTGGGCAAGTTAAAAGACACCTGATGACATGCAAGATTTTTTTCTAAAAGTCTTGTTTCACCCTTTCGTATTTTTATAAAGTATCAATATTTTACATACTCGAATGAAACTTGACGTTATTTAATGTTGAATTTGTCGCATATGGCCATTTAGCCGGTGTAACGCTGTAAAGTGACCCCCATAGAATAATGAACCCGGTCATTATTTTATAGAAAATAGTTACCCCCTTCTATAAAATACTGACAAGCCTTTTTGCTCAAGATACTTCAATGTGTCATAACATGTACAGAAAGCCATTTGCTATTAAAAAATATCTGAGTCACACAAAAAGTAGGTAAGTACTCTCTGTTTATAAATGTTATCAGTGTAATATATTATATATATAATTTTTATTTTTTCAATTATTAAACGTCGGTCTGGCAAAATACCTTAATACACTGTTCTTCGAATTGCGGTAATATAACGCATCTTTTTAATATGCAGCTAAACTGCCTTCAGTTGATGTTAACGTTGTTGTTGATATTTCGAAGTTTTTCCCTTCATCCTCATTAAGAGGGTATATAAGCTTTATATGTATACCATTTGTGCAGTGTAATGTAGCATTTTCAAACTGGAAACGCTGAACTGGTCCGAGATTTTTTTTAAAAAAGTGGCTTATGGTCGCATTTAAAGTATATCATTTTCTGGATTGTAAAAAGACGATTGAGGAAAAGGACTTTCTTTAATGTCCTTTATATTTCTGACCAATAGGATTTACGTGTGCAGACATTTGTAGACAATTCTATAACTCTTTATGTATACATCAAATCTATCTATATTTTCCTTTAGCATAATAGCTTTCGGTTATAATAGCTATCCCCGAGAGTTTGAAACAAGTCTGTACAATAGTAGGGAAAAGATTTGGTCAAATTGTTGCACGGATGCACGGACACACGCAAAGACAACTGGCATTACCTTATTTCTCATCTGAGGATAATTATTTTGACAGTGTTTCTTTGAGAGTGTCCTGTAAGGGCTTTCTAAAGTTTAGGTTGGGGTGTCTTTATTCTACAGCGGTCGCTATTCTATGTGAAGGTCATTTTTCTACGTGTAGGGGAGACATAACTTTATGACTCCACGATATTAATACTTCCGTTATGTCATTATATTCAATATATAGATCTTTTAGTTGGATAATTGTGATTTATAAACATTGATTGTGTTCTTTATACAGAATTATCTCCGCTGCGCCGGAATCCGAATAAGTCCATTTTGCAGAAATGTTTAGCCTTCAAAAACATCAAAATGGTTTTTTCTATTTAAATTTACAACAGACTTTTATATTGATACTACATTTAAATAATGTAATTTAGTATACTTTGATAATTGTTATTTATAACCAAACATTGTTCCCTTTATAGAAAATTATCTTCGTAGTACCAAGAATATATCAATATCGCGGCCATTTTGCCAGCATAGAGTCCTTAAAAACAACTATTGTAAATAGTTGTGATACATTTTGAAACAAACTAACTTTTCACGAGTTTTAACTTTTTTTATTACTTAAATGATAATTATTATCATGAATAAAGCATACGTTGTTTTTTGGGTTTGTTTTTTGCAAAACAATGTCCGTTGTGACTGTTGCACCAAAAAATATATCCGTTGCTATTTTAGTCATACCCCTGGTTGCCTGTTCAAATTTGGATCTCGTCATTAGTAAATAGCCTGGCTCATTGACAACTTATTTATTAAATAAACAAAAAAGATAAAAATAAAAAGAATATGATACTCAACCATGGTACTTTTACTAAAGAAAATGTTAATTTAATTCCTTAAAACTCGGTGACATGTTCTTCATCAGAATAAAAACTATTTTTGTAGAATATGAAAGCAGTGAAATGTTGCTAAAACCAAAATAGATAAACATAAGCAAGACTAAAATTTTCCACGAACGCATATCTACTAGCCTCACTAGAGTGTTCGCGGTATCTAATAAAGGGAATTTTTCAGTCATATATATATATCTGACGGAAACAAGGAGTGTATTAAATGGTGGATTAACAATTTACAGTCCTCCTTTAAACCACGGATTTATAAATCCGTGTTTAAACCAATTAATCAGCATAAACTAGACATGATTATTGATCTGATATAAAACATTTTTTAATGGAAATTTATTTCATTTCATCTGTAACTTTTTTCTTAAAACAGCGTATGAATTAATATAACGGCGAATGACGCTATCCTAAGCATTAAGTTTCATTCTTAAAAATGACGAATTAACGCGGTATATTTATAAAATGTGCTAAATGTACGTCATTGTATAGCAAGCAACTCATCTGGCACCTTCCATGAGAGATGACATTTCCGGCCAGGTTAATCTAACTGAAACAACATTCTTATACCCAAGAATGGGAAGTCTGTAATACAATAATAATGTTGTTGATAATAATCATTATCACATATAACGACAAACCATGAACTAATTATACGTGGATGTTGTTGGCATGTATGAGATGCATGATCCAATACTACATATATTTATATAGCAGATAATAAATTGCTCTGGAACAAAATATCATTATCCATCATTAAAAATGTCAATATAAAAACACTAAGAACAGTATCAACATTATTTTTTGCTATCAGGCAATAGTTTATAGGAATATTCAAATGATACTTTTCTTTAGTGTTTCATACATATTTATAAATACTTCTGAAAAACTTGCCTATTGTAGACCAATTCACAGAAAAATATGTGTAGAGCTATTAACATTGTCAATACCATATAAGTTGAAATTTATTACAACTTTCAGTTAACAATATCAATATCATATGAATTGAAATTTATAACAACTTTCAGAAGTTTACTTAGCGGAAATTCATTTCATTTAGACTGTTTGATATAACAGAAACATGTTTGGGCCTAGGGTAAGGTTTAATACATCTTTACAAAGTGTGCATTCTCCTGTTTTTGATTGGTGCTTGGCGCTTTGTTGATGGCTTTGTAACAGGAAGCGTTCATTGAATGTCGCCCTTCGCTTGATGACTTTATTATAATATAAAATGCATTTATTTTAGGTGTGTGATAAAAATTGTTTGCCGAGAAACTGTTAAAACTATGTGTTGTTCCCTTTGCAACTATAGAAAATACATGTTTAGTGTTTTGGCTTTTCGCGCCTTCTTGTTTAGCAGACTTGAACGATTTGCGTGTATTTAAAATATTTTTTCCAGGGCACTGAAGGTATCGAAAAACAAATGTTAAAGATATTATACTTATATGTGTAAACTAAGAGAGAGGGTATTTTGTAACGCCCGGGGTATGCAATTGAAACCTTGCAAAGGCCCCCCGGTTTTTCGATGCAACATCCAAAACTGTAGGCAAACAAGTCTTGCATGTTTTTTCTTTACGAGTAACTAGACATTTGACCACTAGAGAAAGTAATTTGATCCTTTTTAAAATTCAAAAAAAAAAACCCATGTTTGGTCCAAAAAGCGAGGGACCGTAACCCCTAGGTGAGCGTCAAGTACATCATTGAGTAATGAACAAATTACTATCATGGACTGGACCTGAATTTACTATTCAAGGGGACAAAAACCTAAAAAAAAATAAAAATAGGGGGTCTCCTACTCCACCATAGGCAATTTTGGGTCTCCACAATTTCCCATAACCTTTGGTTACCATTATTTAATATTTTATTTCTTAAGTGATTGATGTGACATGGAATTTACATTTAAGTGTCTCTGTGACTCACCTTTGGCCAAATAACGTCAAAACACGTAAATAGGTGACATCCACTAAGCAGCATCCAGTCAAAATCCTTCCAAAGTGATTTGTATGATGACAAAGATGGCTAGTAATGTATAAATCAATTTCACAACAAATGTTTGTCCTGAATAGAATTTTCGGACGGGGGATATCAATGCAGCTTTGAGTTTTGTGCTTCCTTTCTGTCATTTCCCTAACTTAAAAAACGTAAAAACCATACCGTTATATTTGGCAGCAACACCTTAACTATTTTAAAGAGAGATAAATTAAAAGGTAAACAAACATAGTTATTTTTCTTGCATATTGTCAACCCTTTAAATATTTTCATCAAGAAGAGAACATTTTAAACAATTTTTGCCATTAAGAAAATATTCATCAAAATATCCAGAATAGCTCTTGAGCTTTTTCAACACAAGATGACAAAACTGTCAAAGGCAAAATGCTACGAAGCATCAATGAACAGGACAATTCTGCTAATATGCACAGTTTCTATTGACTGTAACGGTTCGTATGAGTTTTCGCTGATATCCAGTTGATTATTTTTGATAAATAATCCGTACAAAAATGACTGCTGAAAACTCGGCTTAACTGTGTAATATTACTGGATCGTAACATGCTATGACAATGCACTTTGGTGATCATAACTTCCTTAGGAGTTTTGACGAAACCCTATCAGGCGTTGCCAAAAACATATTCTGGGATTTCAATTGATACATTGTGAGCTTTAACTTAAGACTTAAATGCGTATCCAATTCAAGTCAAATACTGTTTTACAAATTTAATAAAACGTTTTTTTTTAAACTGTTTATTTTATTATACACTCAATTAAAAGAAACTAACTAGGTTCAGTATTCCAAATTTATTAGTAGAGATTATGTACAACAATATTTTCAAAACATTTATAAAGACCAAATAATTAGTTTGATTAAGTTTTGAAAGGGCTCGCCTCTAGAAAATAAAGTTTATCCCTTGAAATTAATTTTAAATCAAAGTGTTAAAATTAAAAATGTTCTTTTCGAAAATGACAAAAAATGTAAATTGTTAAAGGGCTCGCCTTTACAAATATAAAGTATATCCCTTGAAAAATATATATAGAATAAAATATAAATCATTAGATGTAATAAATTATTGTTATCGAAATATTCATTTATATATTTCGATGATTTTAAGGGCTCGCCCTTATTATAAAATGTTATAATAAAGTGTATCCCTTGTCATGATAATAACAAAACTTAACAATAAAAGTATATCCCTTCAGCTTAATTTTAAAGCTTTAAATACCGGAATATTTAATGAGTTTAAGAGTTCCATCCGAAAATTACCAAACAAATAAACCGTTAAAGGGCTCGCCTTTACAATAATAAAGTATATCCCTCGAAAATTATAGGCATGTATAGAAAAAAATAAGTATAAGATGCAAATATCTTTTCATCAACATATACATTTCGATGAATTAAAGGGTTCACCCTTAATACAAAATGCAGTAATAAAGTATAAAAAATTGTTTAACATGTTATAAAAATAATCATAATGATTAAAATTAACTATTTTAATTGTGAAAGAGTTCCTTCCAAAAATGACCAAACAAGAAAACCGTTAAAGGGCTCGCCTTTACAATAATAAAGTATATCCCTCGAAAAAAAAAATAATCATAATCATGAAACATAATTTCAGCAAATTATTCTTAAAGGGCCATACAAAAGACTAATACTGTAACTTGGCCCATACTCACTTATTGCCTTAAGGCTATGAAGTGTCTTCTATAAAGAAGAGATTGTCGAAAAGCTTGATAATATATATACATGTATATACAAAAAATTCTGGCTTTCGTTAAAACATTGTAAGCTAATATTTTTATTAGTCCTAGTCTGTATTAGTTTTAAATGTTTGCATTCAAATTTTACAATAAACATAATTTTTGGTACATACTTAAATGATTATAAAAAACTACACTCCTGTAGTATACTAAGTTTGGGCATATTTTTTCAAGAGCAGTCTTCAGGACTTCTTTCAGTGTCTGATAGCATGAAAAGAGAAGGTCTTTAAAATTCAAAACCAAATTGAATAGTTATGTTATGCAAAGGCCCGACAGTATTGTCATACATAGGGAGTTAGTTCATAAAATAAAATCATTTAAAAGGAAGTCGTTAAAAGTGGGAAAAAAGTTCAGAATTGTAGGATTCCATGTTGTTTATTTTGTCAACAAAACTAAGAAAATGACCTATTCTACAAGAAAAGTGGAGTGGTCAAAAGAATCTGACCAATGCTGATGCAGACGTAAACACCAAAGCCCGGTGTCGGTGTCGCTAGTTTTTGAAAATTCTAGCTAAAATTACAAAATTCAATCTATTTACAAAAGGGTAATTTGAAGCTTTAACAATGAAAAGTTATCAAAAACACATTTTCAAAAAGTGGCTAAAACAACATTCTTTGTTCTTGTATGCAAATACAATTAAGGATTAATACATTATATATACAAAATAATTGTGAAACAACACGTTTAAAAGTAAATAATAATTTGATATGGTATCAATGTAGTATAAAGGCAGACGTTTTTTTTTTAAATCCATGCATTACTTTAAAATGGCTATGCAGTCTCTATGTCACATGGCTAGAATTATACAAGCATATTATGTTTTAAAACACAGCCGAATATCACAAAACAAAAAATTACATCACTTTGAATGAATTATGTACATTTATCTTTACTCTTTGAAAACATTTAACTCACCAATGGTGTAATTACCGTATTTTATTACACTCAAACATAACAAAAATACTTAACAAAATATCACAAAAATATATCAAATTATCCCCATTTGCCATATTTACACAAAAATGCTAATTTACACAACTTAAAATGTTTAAAGCAGTATCTCATTATCCGGGGGGGGGGCACTCATAGTTGAATAGCAGCAAGTAAAATGAATCAAAATCAGAAACATTTAAATCATATCAAGTCATGGAGGCATACATAGTTATAGTGAAACATTAACAAATATAGATGCAAGAAATAAAGGATAATTTTCCTTTTGCACAATACTAAAACATATTAAATTAATAATTCAACTGTTTGAAAGTTTTCAATAGTAAATGCTTACATGACCTTTTTAGCATATATATGCTTCATACAAATAAGCATGCTTGACTTAAATATCTTATGATAAAAACAAAAGCTTTCAAGTAAATAAATAAAACAAATACAACATAAATATAATAGAAATAGCAGTTGAAATGAAAAATGTTTTCTAATTGTACAAAGAAAATACATGTATGTATATACATCAATGTGTGAAGAAAATGCATAAATAAATTTGATGCAAAAACAAAATCAAAATATAAATGTTATTTATATAACTAAACATACACTTTTATTGTAATTGGATTTCAACATAAAATTAACTTTTTTTTCTTTTTTTCTTTTTTCATTTACCAACCCTGCAAAGGTCATATGACAATTTTAAATGATTAAACATAAATGTTACTTCATAACTATACAAAGCCTTTGGAACCATGTATATATGTATATATGTGTATTTCCTTTCGTACATTAAATTCATGCACATCTCTCATAGGTCAATGACAGTTATTTTAATATGATAACAAATACACATTTGTTTGATAAAACAATAATGTCATTTAAACAAAACAAAATAACTTGTACAAACACATTAGCTGCACTGTTCGTAGTTGAAAGTAAAAGAGCAAACATCAAAAAAATGTGTTTTCACAACAGAATGTTAAGGTAAAAATAATTAATCATGAATGATGTCTGATGTCATGTCGAGTATGCGCTTTGTAATGTCAATAGCTTTCGTGGCCATATCAGATCCAAATAATTCTGCAGGTATCCGAGTACATCCAGCAACAGCATCAGGATATCTCATGTATGAGTAATTTCCTGTCATGCCTTCCAAATTATGTGCCTACACAAACAGTATAAAAACAGCACAATAAAAAAATATTACAAAAACCAACAAAATAGCATTATTGGAAAAGTAAAGTGGTGGAAAAGTTTTGATTATCACATGGTTTTAATAAATCTTTAAAAAGAATATTAAAGAAAAGAAATTAAAAAAAAAAGAAATTAAAGAAAAGAAATTGAGTTTTTTCCTTTTTTATTTTAATATAACTGTCTTAATAGTACTTTTTGTTTTGTCTAAGGATGGACAAAACTTTCCATAAATGAAAAGTTTAAGAAACAATCATTTGTACATGACGGTTAATGTTATTTAAAGGTCAAGGTCATATCTAAATTACCGGTATTCAACTTGTCCGTTTGGTCACAAGTGTTGTTTTGCCCATGTATGAATCAAATACATACATAAATAATTAAATTACAGCAATTTAACCGAAATTCAATAATTTCTTGGTCATCCATAAAGTTGTTTTGTCCAATTATGAAGATAATAACTTCATCAATTATCCAGTTAAATTCAATTATATCAAAAACCAATAAAAATTCTATAATTTACCCTTGAATGACAAGGTTCAAAATGAGCCAAGGTCAATTTCAGTTTGATAAGGTCTTATGCTAAACAATGTCTTAATATGAAGTTATGGAAGAATATTAACGCCAAAATTACATCTTGCTTTCTTACGTTACATCGTGCTTACTAACTTATACATCTTGCATTCTGACTTGTACATCTTGCATTCTGACTTTTACATGTTGCTTTCTTACACGCACATTATGCTTTCTGATGTGTGCGTGTTGCTTAATTGTATGTTGATATCGTTATTTAACGATCAATTATTATTCATTTGTTGATCTGGTATATTAATTCAATAACTTAACCTGCAACTGTTTGTATTTGGGTCTATTTACCATGAATGACGAATGTCATAAGGTAGAATGACGCATAGCCGAAAGCCGAATGCAGCAAGCATAATACGACGCGACATCTGGTGTAATAATATGTGACACCCAAATTATGCTAACAGGTGGCGCTACAGTTATATTCTCGGTAAAGTCCGTATTGCGGTTTGGATTCAGTTCCTTCGTTTTAAAATTTCCGTTTCCACTATGTAGGAAATAAGGTAAACATATATACAAAACGATTTGACCAATTTTTGTATTTATTACTGAAACTCTGTGGGTCAAATTATATTTCCAGCTGACAATGACAAGTTAGGCTGAAGATGCCTTTTTTATAAAGAAAACTACTAAAAAGGCATCTTCTATCAACAAAATAATTATAAAATAGAACAGTTGTTCAAAGTGCTTGGGCCATAAAAAGAACTTCTTAGTAAAATAGTTCATCCTCTTGAAAAGTTCCTAATTTTTGACATGGCTTATCTCCATCTACAACATTTTTAATGTGTTTTTATTAATTTGGACATTTTCTTGCCTATTTTCAAACTAAATTTGTAGATTTTTTTAAATTCAACTTGTCAAAAAAAATCATTTTTCACTAAGTTGAAATTATTCACTAAGATGCTTTATGAATACGGGACCTTGTTCACAGTGTCAGCTTAAAACTGAATTGAAGGAACTGCTGCCAAAATCAGCTGCTTCTGAGAAAAAAATGTCAAAACTGTCAATCTGTGAGAGTGCAGCTTTAAGACGAATGATTTCATAATGTTAATTGATGAGTACATAAAAACAAAATGTACAAAAAAGATCCCAAGAAATGGTTATAAAATGAATATTGCATGTTGGGCTGAAGATTACGGTGGCACAAAGGAGACTTGTGTATGTTTTTATTTATCTCGTGCGCACGAGATACTATGTCGTGGCCACGAGATACTTTGTCGTGGCCACGAGTTACTAAGTCGTGGCCACGAGATAGCTAAGTCGTGGCCACGAGATACTATGTACGGGGTAATAAGTCGTGGCCACGAGATAGCTTAGTCGTGACCACGAGTCTTAGTAACTCGTGGCCACGACAAAGTATCTGGTGGCCACGACTTAGCTTTCTCGTGGCCATGACTTAGTAACTCGTGGCCACGAGATAAATAAAAATACACACATGTCACCTTTGTGCCACCGTAGAAGATGCCTTTTTAGTAGTTTTCTTTATAAAAAGGCATCTTCAGCCTAACTTGTCATTGTCAGCTGGAAATATAATTTGACCCACAGAGTTTCAGTAATAAATAAAAAATTGGTCAAATCGTTTTGAATATATGTTTACCTTATTTCCTCCATAGTGGAAATGGAAATTTTAAAACAAAGGGACGTAATTTGGTAAACTGAATCCGAACCGCAATACGGACTTTACCGAGAATATAACTGTAGCGCCACCTGTTAGCATAATTTGGGTGTCACATATTATTACACCAGATGTCGCGTCGTATTATGCTTGCTGCATTCGGCTTTCGGCTATGCGTCATTCTACCTTATGACATTCGTCATTCAAGCTCGTAGACCCAAATAGTTAAGTTATTGAATTAATATACCAGATCAACAAATGAATAATAATTGATTGTTAAATAACGATATCAACATACAATTAAGCAAAACGCACACAGCAGAAAGCATAATGTGCATGTAAGAAAGCAACATATAACGTCAGAATGCAAGATGTACAAGTCAGAATGCATGATGAACAAGTCAGAATGCAAGATGTACAAGTCAGAATGCAAGATGTATAAGTTAGAAAGCACGATGTAACGTAAGAAAGCAAGATGTAATTTTGGCGTTAATATTCTTCCATATGAAGTAGATCCCTTCATTAATAACAAAATTATAGCCAGAGGAACATTTCAATAATATGACGATCACGGTCACTAATGGAGAAAGTCAAAATCTGTCTGCTTAACTTTTAGGTCTATACTTAAAAATTGTTGTGTTCAAGTTTGATGACAATTTATTCAAAAATAACAATAACTTTTGGTGTGGCCAAGCATGAAAACATTATTCAACAAAACTAAAGTTATAATTTAGGTTAAACTTCACGAACAGCAACGACGCCATTACTGTAACAATACCACTTTTTTTTCTTCAAAATAATCTTCAAACTAGAAATGTATCCATAGGACACGGGTGCCCCACACGTCACTGTTCTGTCAATCTTATGACTCTAGGTCAAATATTCTACCACTACATGTGCCACAGGTTAAAAACTAAAAATCTTTTACTAAGTAAAGGACAAGAACTTTACAAATACTGAATAAATCCACAAGCAAACCCAAGGTGCATAAGAACACATGCTGACCAACATTCTTGTAAACTTTCAGGCATACAGGTCAAATACTTTTTGAGCTATGCATGAACAAGTTGGAAATTGCATACTACTGTACGTCAAGGGCGATAACTCTAACAAAACTGAAAAAAAATCCACATGCAAAGTCCCAGATGCATAGCTTCACAGTGATGTTGATCATTATTCCTGTAATTTAGTGATGTTGATCAATATTCCTGTAAAGTTGGTTGATTCTTACTCAAGCACTCAAGGAACAAATAACAACATAATGGAACAGTTTTTGCTTAGTCAAGGGAAATAGCTCTACAAATACTGGATAGATCAACAAGCGAAACCCAAGGTGCACAACTACATATGCTGAGCAACGTTCCCGTAAGGTTTAATGACTCTATGTGAAATCGTTTTTTGAGTAACATGCGACACAAGTTGAAAATTGCAAAAAAAATCTAAGTCAAGGGTGATCACTCTAAAAATACGAAATAAATCCACACAAAAATAACCAGGTGCACAACTACACATGCTGATCAACATTCCTGTAAAGTTTCATGACTCTATGTCAAATCTATTTTGAGTTACATGTGACACAAGTTGAAAAAAGCAAAATTTTACTAAGTCAAGGGCAATAACTCTAAAAATACTATATAAACCCACACGAAAATACGCAGGTGCACAACTACACATGCTGATCAACATGTCTGTAAAGTTTCATGACTTTATGTCAAATCCTTTTTGAGTTACATGCGCCATAAGTTGAAAATTGCAAATTTTTACTAAGTCAAGGGCAATAACTCTAAAAATACTGAATAGATGCACACGAAAATACCCAGGTGCACAACTAAACATGCCTATCAACATTCCTGTCAAGTTTCATGACTCTATGTCACATTCTTTTTGAGTTACATGCGACACAAGTTGAAAATTGCAAATTTTTATTAAGTCAAGGGCAATAACTCTAAAAATACTAAACAAATCCACACGATTCCACAGATGCACAACTGCACATGCTGATCAACATTCCTGTGAAGTTTCAGGACTCTAGGTCAAATACTTGTGACACAAAAGAGAACGGACGGACGGAAGGATGGACGAACGGACGGACAAGGGTAATTCTAAATGCCCGCCACTAAAGTGTGACCAACGTGAAAGTCCAACAACAACTGCATTGGCAACAGCAACATAAAATAGTTCTGATATTTTTCATCAAATAAACTGAGCTAAAAATATTTATTCATTTTTTTTGTTGGATTCAGCAGGATATATGTAAAGACAACTTTCCAGCTCTACAGGTGGAGAACGACTTCCGTGTTATTTCAGGTTTGAGTAGAACCAACGACGTTCCGATAGCTAGCTTGATACCTTCCTCACCTTTAAGAATCTGATGTCCCTGTCGGAATTATAAACCACAGCGGTGAGTTGCAAGTTGTTTGTAGTCAACGACCTTATACACCCGGCTACGGACGGCCCTAAAAAAGTGTAAAAAATAAATGCCTCTCTATAGACATAAATTATCACACTATAAAAGGCAATATCATTGATCTATTGTACCTCATTGAACAATGATCCCTCATCAAGTCCGTAAGCAATAGTTGATAGAGAATGTCCCTTTTCTCTTGCCCTATTTGCGTTTTTTGCAAACCAAGCTGCCTTAAGTGCCTTTTCAGAAGCCTACAAAACAGAGTAAATTTGTATTCATTAAAATAATGATTTGGAATAATTGCTGATACAGGCTGATACTGTTTGATAGAAAATATTTAATTTTTTAATCATTTTACTTCAGGTTTAAAAGAATTGAAGCAAATTTAAATCATTTAACAATGAAAGTACTCCTGGAAATAAAGATTATACATGCAAATGTTTTAGTCATTTATTGTTCGTTTTCTTTATAAATACTCAAATTTGCGGTTAAGATGCTCGGTCAGCTAAATCATAAAAATAAGAGGGGGAATATGCCATAGATCGCTCACCTGATCCATCAAACTTATCGACAAGCATCCTGATTAGGTTTGATTACAATTGAGTCAAAAATGTGGCCTTTTGAGTGTAAACAAGGTTTTTTTCATATTTGAGCAGTGTGACCTAGTTTTTTGACCCCAGGTAACCCACATTCGAACTTGGCCTAGAAATCATCAAAACAAACTTGCAGACAAATTTCCAGGATATTTGGATAACAGCAGTAGCCAGTAGAAAGTTAACAATATTTTTTCCATTTTTAGCTCCAGTGACCTAGATTTGTATGAGAGATTACCCACGTACGAACTCCTTTAAGCAATTAACTAGACAAGCATCCTGAACAAGTTTGATGACAATTGAGTCAAAAATGTTACCATTAGAGAGTTAACCACATTTTCCTGAAATAATCAAACTGTCAGGCCAATTTCCAGGATAACTGGATCAAAACAGTAGCCACTAGAGTTTTAAAAAGAATTTTCTATTTTTAAATCCTCTGACCTAGTTTTTGACCCCAGACGACCCATATTTGATCTTGACCTAGAAATAAGATAGACAAACTTACTGACAAATTTTCAGAATATTTGGATCAAAACTGTAGCCACTAGAGTGTTAACAATATTTTTCTTTTTTTAGCTCATGTGACCTAGTTTTTGACCGGATATGACCCATATTAGAACTTGAACTAGAAATCATCAAACAACTTTCCTGACAAAATTTCAGAATATTTGGATAAAAACTGCAGCCACTAGAGTGTTAACAAGATTTTTTTCTTTTCTTTTAGCTCCTGCGACCTAGTTTATAACCGGAGATAACCAATATTCGAACTTGAACTATAAATCATCAAAGCAACCTTTCTGACAAATTTCCAGAATATTTGGATCAAAACCGCAGCCACTAGAGCGTTAACAAGCTTTTCTTATTTTTGCTCTTGTGACCTAGTTTTTGACCCAAGATGACCCATATTCGACGTTGATCTTTATTTCATTCAGACAAACATTCTGACAAAGTTTGATCCAATCAAAACTGTGACTGCTAGAGTTTTAAAAACCCAAATATTGACGACGCACGACGACGGACAACGGACATAGCCCCATCACTATACCTCACATTGACCACTTCATGGTCAGGTGAGCTAAAAAGTCAATACAGAAGATTGAACTGCAGTCGTAGACATTAAGGTTTGATTCAAGACAATGACCGATATGCTGTTTGTGATAGTTTTAGTTTGAAATGAATGTCACCTTTTAATTCCATCCATAGGAATAGAGAATTATACTAACAAGCAAAATTAAACAAAAAACTGACCTGATGGCATTTATAACACACCCAGTTAAAACTTTTGTCTTTGTCTCCAGAGATTACATTAGTCTCAGCCGCCTTAAAATCAAATACTGCTTGCCGATACCAGCGCTTTGCTTCACCAATATGACGAACAATAGCCTTTTCCGCTCGAGAGTGAGAATAATTACCGGTTCGAGTTGATCTGTTGTATTCTTGAATATTATCACGAAATGCTGCAGCATACCTTTGACCGCGTGAAAAAGCAGAGGAACTTTCTGCTCCAAATGATGAACCAGACATATCTGGTCTTGTCCTCCCTGTGTCATCATTTACAGTGTCAACAATGGTCTCATTGTTTTCTAGTTTTAAAACGATCTGATTTATGTAATTAAAGACACGTTCTGCATAATCTCTTTGAGTGCTGTTTCTATCAGGATGCCACCGTTGCAACAAGCGTCTGATTATTCTTTTTCGCTCTGTTTCAGTTTTGGTAAGCCATGCTTCACTCAAAATCTGACGAACACGTCTAAAATTTTCATCAATAGGTATACAACCTATTGGTTCAATATCATAGACAACTAATGCCTGTTCTTCTTCTCTTTGCCTTGGTGTAAATTTATAAAGACTGTGTAATGGTACACTAATATACTCGTTATCATTTTTACCAACATCAACTGTGTATGAAATTTGAAGAATGCCACCTCCAGGTCCTCTTTTTTTTTCACGTACTATATGTGCATATATGTAAACTAAATCATCGGACTCATCATCGTTTTCAACTTCAAGAGCTACAAACCTGAATTCATGAGCCTTGAATGGCACAATACTTTGTTCCATGAATGGATGGAATCGTTCCTCAACATAAGTACCAGGTCTTGGAAAAACTGATACTGGAAACGAAGCTGGAAGATCGTATGCAGCAATTCGCAATTTATCTAGTTTGGCCTTTATTTGGGTAGGGTTATTCTGCATATGGAGAATTGCTGTCAGATGCTGTGACATTTCTTTTTCAAGAATACCATCAGTACAAAGGTCTACCAATTTCACCAATCCGTCAGGATCTTCGATTAAATCTTGAACAATGTCATCAGATTCATTTACCTGAAAAAATAGCTCATTTTCCTTTACTTTCTCTTTTTCAGTATATTGAATAACGTTTGATTGGATAAAGCAAGTTGCATCTCTCTCAGTCCCATCAATTCTATTTTTTTTATAGTTAAGGAATGTTTTTAATCCTGAAACTTTTGTAATTTTAACATTTGTCAGCCGTAACATAAAATCATATGACATTTCTTTCAGGAAAGGACCTCTGTATTTCAGTTGATGTTTAACAAGCCGCAGTACACCTTCAACAAAATCAGGGACTTGAAAGAAACTTTCCACTCTTTTAGCTATTGGACAATCCTCCCGTTGAATATCCTCCAGAGAAATTTCTTCAACAACAACATCTGTCAGTATGTCTGGTTTTAAGTGTTGTGGAAATTTTACGAAAGGTTCTTCTGGGTCTGACACTGACATAATTTCTATTTCCCTGAATCCAATGAAAAAATTTAATTTTAGTTTATCATGAAGACGTTCCTTTATATCATCATTATTTGAAACTGTCAAAGTGGTAGCATCAGCAAGGCACTGTCTATGATTCGGAAAATATAATTTTCTGACATTATTAAATAATTCATTTTCTTTTTCGATTAGCCGAACAATATTTTCAATAGCCCTCTTCACATTTGCAAGACAATTTGCAGGCAATGGCTCATCTCCGTAATGTTCCTTGATAATTTCCAGTACCCTCGCATATTGAGATGAATTAACAGTTCTGTCTGACCCGAGCTTTAAAAACAAATCTTCATATGCTCCAAAACAACTCGGAAGCTTATACAAATAAGGCCTTACTTCTTCGTCATCAGATAGGTTTACAACCACTGCTTTCAACGGCAGCATTACCTGGTCTTCTGGATGAAATACAATAGGGGTTACCTGAAATGACTGTTGCATAGATATATGAAATTTTTTCTGTAGGACATGGTAAAGTTTGAGCATGAGATATTTGACAAAATGGTCTGAAATAAGTTTTTGTTCTAGCTGTTTCTTCATAACATCACATATATTTTGACAATGCTTAACTATTGTGTCAATGTTTGGAACTTCTATAATACCTAGAGCGTTTCGCAACTTTTGTTCATTTGGCATATATTGCAGAAGATCAGTATTTGACCAGCATAGGTCTTCGTTCTCGAATGAAGTTGATCCCGAAAAGCGAATTAAATTTCTTCCATATCCTGGCTGCTGAAATATTGTTCTCCTTTCTTCATTTACAACATAGGGTAAAACAAAACGTATCCGTTTTAGTTGATTCAAAGTCGGGGGTGGCCATTTTTCAGTAAACACACATTCTGTCAATGCTTCTGATTGTTCCTGAATTATATCTGACACAGGGCTACTGTACTGTCTATCTAATTCCAAGGCATACTCTACAATCATTTTATCTGTAGGTTTCATAATAAGTCCTAAGAATTCCATAAAAGATCGCCATTTGTATTCTCTATATTCATCTGGCAGAAAGTTTTCTTGTGACAACATACTTGCAAAGACTCGATTGCGATAATCATAAAGATCATGAACTTTTTTGTATATTCCAGAAACAGTTACGAATGGTAAATCACTTAGTTGACGAACTAACAGGCGTTGCTTGTCATCTAACTCTTGTTGAAAATAAAGCTTAAGTAGATTTTCCCTTATGAACTCTATATGAACTTTCCAGGTCTCCCTTGGTAAATTGTGTATTTTTGGCAATATTTTAGTTATATACACATCGATATTACTCATTCTTGAAAGCTTCAAGAATTCATACAATTTTTCGAGTAGATCAGTCGTCTTGAGAACGCAAATTCCTGTTCTTTCTGCCCATATATTTAACCCATCTTCCGGTAACCCTCGCTGTAATACTATTACATCGGTAAAACCGTCAATACTTATGGTTTGTCCAAAGTGTGTAACAAAAAGCGGTAAACATCTCAATTTCATGTCTAAGTTATTTTCATCTGCAATCTCCTGTTTCAGTACATTTAGATTGTTATTGAAGAAGCTTAGCAATGTTATACTTTCTTGGGGCAAAAGGGAAGTACTTCGAACTTTCAATTTGTAATGCAGTAAGCACTCTAACAATTCTAATGGTCGCTCTGTTGAAGGCAACATTTTCAGTAAAGGAGAAAGTAAACCTGTATCATTGTTGAGAAATAGGATTTTGTCTAGACAAGGAATGTTAAATTTTGAAAGAATGATATCAATATCGTTGCTTCTTGGCAATTTGTAGAGTAAACTACACGTTTGTCCAATTGGTACAAGCTGATTAGTTGTTTCAGAGCCAAAACTACTACAAGATGGCAAAAATGCCCAGTCTCTGAATTGTTTCACGTTTACTTCAAACTGTTGCTGGTTAAGATGCTTCAAATCACTATCAAGAGATTTATTGTAAATAAACTGAAATATCTTATAAACAACATCCTGTTTGATTGGAATACCTTTTTCCTTGTCCCATAATATGTGATTTCCAGTTGCAAATGTATTCCGGTCAAAAGTCTCAGCAATTATTGAAATGAAATCATTTACTTCAAACCGCTTTGCAACACCTGCGTCATAAAACACATCATTGTTTATAAGATGTATACAATGTGAATTTATGAACCTACTAGCTGATCCAGTAAGTACATCACACATTTCCGAACAATAAACTGGCGAGTTCGCTTTAAATCTGCTCAATATACTGTCACTTGTTAGACACAAAGGAAGTCCACATACCTGCTCATTGAAACTCTCATCTAACCGAACAAATCGTATAATACTTTTTAAAGTACCTACATCTGAAACTGTTGTTTCTGATATAGAAATATCAATTCCTCCTAAATTACAACAGTTACTGTTACTATCAAAATCTTTGTATGTTTTCAAAAACTTCATGCCATATTTTGGACAACATTTTGGCAAATAATCAATTTTAGACTTTTCCATTGAAGTGTAAATGCCTTTTGGGGTTTCAATTATTTTCATACCCATTCTCTTAAAGGCATTTTCTACTAAGATGCTTTCCTTTCTTATGAATGATATCGTATCTGTTCTTCCCATTATATCATTAAATGTACCATCAAAATCATTTTCTGAGCAAGACAAATATACCCATCTAATATCTGTATCTTCTGATGTTTGACAATTATCTTGAACAAGACTAGTACTACAGGACGGAAATATTGTTGCTTTGCCTTCAATAACTTTCCTGTAGAAACTGCTGACAAGAAACTTCCAAAAATTATCTGAAGCTTTGTCCCATACAGGAAAATAGTGATGGTAGATTCCTAAAATTTGATCACACACTTTCCTGTTGAGTGAGTTTTCATGAAGCAAAACTCCTTTTAGAAGCATTATTGCCTTTACTGACGCTACAGAAATGATTTCATCTAGAACAAATATATTCCATAAGTTCTTTATTCCTTCATTCCACAGTTTTGACCTTGCCTTATCTAGTGCAAAATGACCATTGACATGAAAAGGAAGCCCAGTTTCAACTGGCAAGGGAAGAAAGCAGAAAGCCCTTCCTTTCAAAGTATTTCGAGGTTTAACTTGTGCACTGACTGGTTTGATGTTCGTTTTTGGTACCAGTAGAGCTACAGATGCTAAAGGTAACAAACCAATTCTTTTCTCCTTAACAGCTGACATAATATCACTGTACTTTTCATCAACACGATCAATGCCAAATCTATTTATAATTAACCAGTTTTCATTCTTCCCAGATTTTCCAATAATCTTTAGGTAATAGGAAGACTCTATTGGTTGATGATAAAACATATTGTGTCGACATTCCCGATTTGCACTTACGCGTTCCTGTACACTTGAAAAAAAATTTGTTCGGGATAAACTATCGTTTCCTGTCAATTGTGCTTCCACCTTAAACTCTTCTGTTAACTTTCCATCATTGTAGGTAGATATTTTTATGCATTTAACATTTCTTAGGAACAACAAACATTCAGACATGTCTTCCTTGCATTGATGAAGAAGAGCATTCATCGTATTGACGGAAAGAACATTTCTGCTGATATCTGACCTTACTTGACGAAAAGGTAGTCTAAAAATTGTACCTCGTCCAGAACTACTCATCAGTGATATATCAGGATATCCAAGAAGCATATCTGGAAAAGATTTTGCCATTTGTTCTACCTCACATTTAATTCCTGGGTTTTCTTTTGTAACATAGCCTTCTAAATATGTCATCAAAGGGTCAAATATACACATTTGTCCACAATTTCCTAGTCCTGGACCCTTTGTTAGGAATGATGGTACATCTGTTAAGTGATAAACTGCATTAAACCCAATACCATACTGTCCTGTTTTTGACGGATCATTTCGTTTGCTTCCAAGTCCAATATTTCGTATTCCATTAAAGTCTTCTTCAGTAAAATAACTATCATTAAAGATGCATAACGATGGCCCTAGTAAGTTCTGATTTCCAAACATTTTTGTTGACGAATGGGATTCATAGTTCTTGATAAAATGTATTTCTGTAGCTCCTGCATCATCTGCATTTTGAATGAGTTCCTTCATGATACTCGAGTCGCATGGATAGTCTTCCAGAATACCAGTTAGTCTTGTCACTAAGCTTTCATTCTGTCCAAATGGTGTAAAAAATCCACTTGTAAAGCATTCAACTATACCTCGTTGTTTTGATTTTACACCTAATGCTTTACCAGTATCAGGTGATATTTGTCCATGTAGTATATGAAGATTGGCTGATGTTTGATAAGCTGGATCCTCTATCACTAATTTATTGGTAGGTCTAAGAATTCCGTCAGTGGCAGGAGCAACAATATTTGCATGCTCTGCTTCTAAGTCCTGATAAACCTTATTTTCCTTTTCCATATTTTTGTGTAGATTAAGAAGAACAAGTGAGACTAACTCTACTTCTTCACATACACTCTGGTTCCATTTCTTGTGTATTCTTTTGAGCACCTCTATAAGGAAATTTACTGAAAAATACTCAACAACTCCAAGCGCTTTGAATACTTTTCTCCTATCATGATTGGTATCTCGTAGGCAATATAACTCAGGGCGGCATTCAGCCTTCACTTCAAATGCTACTTTACTAGGCATAACTAGTTCATTACCAATATGTATCAAAGGTGTCCCAGTAAGGTTTGAAAAATCAGATATTTTTGAAATTTCCGCCTCAGATTTCCCATCAATTAACCGGGCTAAATTTTCATATATCTTTCTACAAATTATTTCTAAATTGTTGCATTGTTGTTGAGGGTCAGTGTATTGATTTGACAACATTTTCAACTGAGAAATAAGTAGCTGTACTGATACCTCACTCTTCACCCCTAAAATTTGAAGTAAATGTTCCGATAGTAAGTTCTTCTCTGATAAAAATTGTTCATGTATAAAACTGCAAACACTTCCACAGCAAATATAAAGTGATTCTTTGAACAAGGATCCTGGACAATCAAACCTTATGATACGTTTAATGCTACTACAATGTTTATTACATTCTTCATTTGAGTTATGCATTTGTAATTCGTCTGCTCTCCAACTGAATTTCCAGTCTTTGGGTGTTGGAAGGACTGGGATCAAAAGCATACATTTAAGCTTCTCCACTGAACTTATATCTTTTTCCAATTTTTTAAGCACATTATATTTTCCACAGTACTTTAATATTCTTAGACATCTGTCTCGGGCACAGGAACCACAAATTTTCAACAATTCTCTTAGCGACCTACATCTTTCAAAAAGCATTTCATTAGGAATATACCTATCATTCATTCCAAGAATTATAAGTTGATCTATGACTGTTTTATCACAAAAACCGTCTGCTTTCCATGGAAAATATCCCTCTGGAATATCAAACATTTCAGCTATATCTGATGAAGTGTTTATTAATTCGTTTGGCCTGCAAAGGTTATTGCTTGGTTCAGAAGGAATACATTTCGTTTCCTTCATTTTTTGAAGAACTGCTTTAGATTTAGTTCTGAGAGCAAAAAGTATCATTGCATTCCTTTTATCAAACTGATTATCCCAAAAAGATGTACTTAACGTATTCAAGAAATGCATGATAAGTTCCTCCTCCGATATAATTATTTGTTCAATAGTATTTCTCAAATCGCAATCTATGAAACCTTTCAAGACAATCGGAGGTAATTCAATTACAGTTTTATGCGATCTTGGAGGAACAAATGACAGAAATTCTAACGCGATAGTTCCTATCTCAGTACATCGTACAGTTGGATCTAGGAAAAGGACTTCACCAAGACAAAGCCATTTACCGTCTCCCTTAAAAAGCTTTGTTTCATCTGCAATAAGTTTTTTAAAGAAGCTTTGCTCGAGAGGAAAAACGTCACGAGATCCTTCTAATGGCCAAAGAGAATGATAAATATATTTATCAGAACAGTCTGTACAAAGACTCTTTAATAGCTCTATATAACTTAAGACCATTGCATCTTCCATCAAAGCCTTGTTCCAAACATAGCTATCCCCTTTTCTTTTATCATCTTCTGTAAAGGAAAGAAGAGCTCTCCTGTCTGATGTTACGCTGAAACACCCATTTAGATGCACTGGCAAGCCGGTTTTTATCGGAAGAGGTAGAAAACAAAATAAATGGCCTTCTTTATAAAAGCCTGTTGTAACATCATTCAACATACGAGGGTACTTTGCACTATTTTCCACTGGTACAGCAACAGCTGATAGTGGCACTGCAGCCTTTTCAGATGTTTCCCTTGACAGGATAAGAGACTCATTTTTACCAAGAGCCCAAGATATAAGCCATTTTGTTTCAAACGATTTATGCAATTGTTCATCAGAGTAGGATATGAACGAGTTTTTATAAAAATGTTGTGTTATAATCACATGCTCGAGTTCAGAAAACTCCTCCCTATTTTTCATTATAGTAGGTATACGATTCAAAATGCTTTTTGACTGTCCCGTTTGTAATTGTTGGTACTTTGTTTCACTTAATTTTTCAACACTGAATATGAGCTTAGCATTGGAAGGATCAGATTCCTTTTCTGAAAGATGGAAAATCTGCACAGTTTTGATATTTTGAGAAAACAACAGTACATTTCCTGCATTTTCAACAAATTGACCAAGCAGTGTAGAAACTTCTCCTTTAGTGTATACACTTTTGCAGATTTCACTGTTTGCTGCTTGATAGTCTGTTCTCAAGGGTAGTCTAAATAAAGTGCCATCAAATTTAGTGAATGATTTTTCAAGCACATCACAGCCAAAGACGTTATGGTAAGGCTTAAACTGGTCAACATTCCGTCGTATTAGATTACGCTCTGTTAATTCAACCCCTAATCCTGTGTCAGACTTTCGCAAAGCCTCCTTTATATAATACTCATGTGGGTCAAATATAATCATGTCATTTCCGGATATGAAACTTGGAACATCTGTGAGGTTGTACACTGAGCAAAAACCAAGTCCAAACTTACCAATTTTGTCCAAGTTATCAGCTTTGGTTGCTCCATTAAGTTTCCTTATATTTACGAGATCTTTGTCCGTAAACACGGAGTTGTTATAAACCCATAAGGCAGGACCTTGGCACTCCTGTAATTCTGAAGTAAATAATTTGTCTACTCTCCTTGCATCATGATTCACTCTCTCGTCATACAGAAATTTCACAACAGATGCACCTGCATCATCTGCATTCTGAATAACCTCTTTCGGTACAGAAAAGCCATCTTTATAACTATCTCTAAGTAATGTACTTATTCGGGTTGTAAGTGACTCATGTTGGCCTGATTCCTTGAAACTAAATCCTTTTGTAGCATTTAAAATTGTTTTCTTTTTAACAGACTTGACCCCCAATTGCTTTGCTATAGATATTGGTACTTCTTTGTTTACAATGTAAAATTTTCTTTCCTCTTCTTCATCAAGTTCATCAAAGTCGTCATCAAATAAACACAATGACATTGTCTGTAAACTAAGCTTTTCTAATGAGTGATCTTCCACTAACATCAGTAGTTCTGACTCATCAATATGAAGTAGGCCTTCTGTTTTCTTCTCTGCAAGAACTTTTAAAATTTCTAACACAATACTGGTATCCAAGTCTTTTGAAGACAATGGATTTGAGTATGAATCATGTGAATCGTATTTTTGTTTAATGCTTTGTAAAGCATTAATGAGTATAACAGTATCTTGTTCCTTGTTACAATTCAATTTTAAAAATAATTCATCCATTTCTTGCAACTCTTCAGGTAAGAAATAATAATACGGCCGGATATCTAAATCACATTTCCTTTTCTTAATGATAACATTTTGTGGTTGTACAAAACCTTCACCAGTCCATATTACAATTGCTCTATCCAAATAGCATTTGACATCTGAACCTTTGCCGTCCACTTCATGCAAATATTGGTAAATTTTTTGGATAGCTCTCGAATAATCCGGTTTGTGTTTCTGGTTATAGTTTTGATTAATCAAGGAAAGCTGCTGTATCACTATGTCAATTGAAGGGGCTTTTTTCCATCTAAACCAGTTTATAACTGTGTCTGAGGAGCAATTAACCATTGGTGTTGTACCTCCAGTCAGTAGGCTCCACTTAACATGTTTTGCGTCTTCTGGTTTACAGAGATCAATGCTTTCTGAAAACCAAGGCATCCCGTTCGGGTAATCTGTAGGTGGAGTGCGCATGACTGGCATACATTGAACTGACATCAAAGCATTACCTAGATATGATCCGCTCGAACATTTTTGGTTCAATAAATTTGGTAATTTCTCTAAAACACTAACAAATTCCTTCGTTTTCTTTGACATATCCTCAGAACTCCGCTTTTCTCTTTCCCAAATATCTAATGTGTTGGCAACTTTCAGCATGACATCTCCAGTTAGATTGTCTATACCTTTCAGGCCTAGTCTCTTTAGTGCTTGTATTTCTGTGTCACAAAACTCAGTCAACGGTTCTGGAAACAATGACTCCCCAATGAGCAACCTTTGAAGTGATGAATCTGATGGATCATAAAGGTCAGACGGTAAGCATAGCTTTGTTCCTACCCTTAGACACGGCAGTTTTGAGGCAGCATCACAAATAGCTTTGTTGTTTTCAAACAAGTGGAAATGTTCAATGAAATAATTCATAAAGTCTAAAATTTGAACATCCGTTTTGGAAGCACGTAGACCCATGATTGCATGTGAAACTAGTGTTTCAAGTTTAACCTTTTCAGCATCCAATCGGGTAATCAAACTCTCTTCTTGACTATCTACTTTTAAACATTTAAATGGAAAATTGATTCCTGCAGGGAAGTTTATATCACCAGATATAAATCTACGAACATCAGCAATGGCAGAAAACTTACCATCATCTTCCATTGAATTCACACCCTTGAACATTCTAAGCTTTTGAAACATTTTTACCATATCTGGTTCAATATATGCCAAGGCAAATGCAAACTGAAGTAATGATTCTCTCAACTGGAAATTCGATTCAAAAGCAGCGTTTAATGTAGACACTGCATTTTCTCCCATCATTTTGTGCACTTCACAGAATAGATAAATAATATCTTCCTTTGTTGGCCGCTTAACAAATTCTTTAACTGATTCAAACTGTATCCATTCTGGAAGACTCGACAGTACCTTTACATTCAATACTTTAAGACAATTCTCTAATCCATCATTTAGAATGCATTCTCTAGTAAGTTCATATTCTTTTATAATAATGAAATCTGACAATCTTACCAATTCAATAACATCTGGATCAGTCCAGCTTCCTTGAGTCAGCATCGGCACTAAAGGTATATCTTTGAAACATTTTACCATGTTTTTGTTGATGAGAACATGCCATACATTTTCCATCCACTGACTTGGAAGACTCGACGTTTTTGTCCATCGGACATTTTCACCAGATCCAAAGTGGAAATTCAGTGTTTGCATCATTAACGTCTTCTCCAACTTAACATCTAATCTTTGAACTTGGTAGCTTCCTGGAATGCATAAATATAACAATTTTAAACAAGAGGGCCATGATGGCCCTGAGTCGCTCACCAGAAACAACTGCTTTTCAGTGTTGGAATGTCAATATATTCTAATATTAAATTTGAGCATAGAATATGTTTAAACAATAATTTGAAGAAATGCCATGACCTGGGGCATTTAAGCTTTAGCTAACGGGGCTAATCAAATTAAAATGAGCAAACTTGATAAAAGACTAGCTAAGAATGCTACAAAGTTTGGTGATCATCTATCAATTATTTCAGTAGAAAATGATGTTTGAAGCTTTTTTCTATTTCAAGCTTTAGTGGCCCCTAAAAGGCGCTAATCAAATTAAAATAAGCAAACGTGATAGAGTACCCAAGAATGCTACAGACAAAGTTTGGTGATTATCCATCAATTGGTTCTGAAGTAGAAGATGTTAAAGGTTTTTTCTATTTTTAGCTTTAGCGGCCCCTAAAAGGGGCTAATCAAATTAATGTGAGCAAACTTGATAAAAGATTACCCAAAAATGCTACAGACAAAGTTTGGTGATCATCCATTGATTAGTTCTGTAGGAAAGATGTTTAAACATATTTCTATTTTTAATTTTAGAGGCCCCTAAAAGGGGCAAATCAATATAATATGAGCAAACTTGATAAAAGACTACCCAATAATGCTACAGACAAAGTTTGGTGATCATCCATCAATTAGTTCTGTAATAGAAATTGTTTAAAGGTTTTTTTTTATTTTTAGCTTAAGCGTCCCCTAAAAAGGGCTTATCAAATTAATATGAGCAAACTTGATAAAACACTACCCAAGAATGCTACAGACAAAGTTTGGTGTCATCCATACATTAGTTCTGTAGAAAAAGATGTTTAAAGGTTTTTCTATATTTAGCCCTAGCAACCCCTTAAAGGGGCCAATCAAATTAATGTGAGCAAACTTGATAAAACACTACCCAAGAATGTTACAGACAAAGTTTGGTGATCATCCATCCAATAGTTCTGTAGAAAAAGATGTTTAAAGGTTTTTCTATTTTTAGCCCTAGAGACCCCTAAAAGGGGCTAATCAAAATAATATTAGCAAACTTTATAAAAGACTACCCAAGAATGCTACAGACAAAGTTTGTTGATCATCCATCAATTAGTTCTCTAGAAATAGACATTTAACGGTATTTCTATTTTTAGCTTCAAATTTATATGAGCAAACTTGATAAAACACTACCCAAGAATGCTACAGACATAGTTTGGTGTCATCCATACATTTGTTCTGTAGAAAAAGGTGTTTAAAGGCTTTTCTATTTATAGCCCTAGCGACCCTTAAATACTGTCACAAGGATGCTACAGGCCAAATTTGAAGTAAATCTGCTTAGTTTCAGAGAAGAAGACGATTGTTGACACATGACGACGGACGATGGACGCCGGAGCATCCCCCTTTGATACTTATAGCTCACCCTGAGCCTTCCCCTTAGGTGAGCTAAAAAGTAAGCCAAGATGGCCCTAGATTGCTCCTCTGACTTATCAACAACATCTGAGCAATGTTTTAGACAAGCATCCTGACCTAGTTTGATGAAAATTGAGTCAAAAATGTGACCTCTAGTGTTAACACAATAAAATAGTCTGACATATTTCAAAATATTTGGATCAAAACTGCAGCCACTAGAGTGTTAACAATATTGTTTTTTTTTATTTTTAGCTCCTGTGACCTAGTTTTTGACAGGATATGACCCATACTAAAACTTGACCTAAAAATCATCAAAACAACCTTCCTGACATATTTCCATGAAATTTGGTTCAAAACTGCAGCCACTAGAGTGTTAGTAGGATTTTTTTATTTTTAGCTCCTGTGACCTAATTTTTGACCGGACATGACCCATCTGCAAACTTGACCTGTATTTTATTGAGAAAAACATTCTTACAAAGTTTGATGATGATCCAATCAAAACTGTGACTTCTAGCGTGTTAACAACCCAATTGTTGATGACGAACGATGCAGGACGACGCACGCCTGACATAGCACAATCACTATACCTCACCTTGATCACTTCGTGGTCAGGTGAGCTAAAAAGTAAATATTATGGTTTGCTAATAAAAGAAAACAAAACTACTGCCACCACTAAAGATGATTCCTACCCCACTCGACAAATATTTAATTATGTTACACGAGTCTAGTGTACACAATATATGCAATACATTGCCTCACCATTCTAGTAATTGACCGGAAACCCTTTTTCATTTTCAGTTACAGTGACCTTGAACCCAAGAATCTAAAATGCAACCGAAAAGCTAGACCTACAAATAAGCTTGCTACATATGGAATTTGATTACATAATTCTTGACTCAAGAAACTATTTTTCTATATTCAGTTAAAGTGACCACAGTATTTGGTCAAACTAGAACTGCCACTGTCATGGTGTGAATAAACCCGCATACCACTTTGTCAGAATCAACAGTGGTCATTTAGTGCTTAAAGACAACCTCCCTTCCAAATCTGTGACTAGTAAGCCAGTGCAATGCAATTGCTAAGTTATGTATTCTACATTTTTTTATGGCAAAGATCAAAGTGACATTTACCTTTGACCTACTGACCTCAAAACTGAACTACTACTGCATGACTTGAATACCCCCATCCCCCATTCATGCAGCTTTTCCTGGAGTGTTTTATAATGAATATATGAGAACATTATTATATGCTTCAAATGAGAAAATGTCAAAATCAATACACTGTGGACAGGCATTCTTAAGCCTTTGAGCAGACAAGCTCATTGTAGTAAAAGCCCCTGTGACCTTGACCTTTGACATTCCAAAGTTGTAGCTCTCAATATCAAATATGATTTTATTTGCAAAACAAGAGCCAAAAAGGATTTAAATAAAACTAGAACTGTGTCCAAAGGACACGGATGCCCCCACTGACAACATATATATGGTATATAGTGAAAAAATCAACAAAGGGCCATAATTCTGTTAAATTTGGTCGCAGCAAAAATTCCTTCCTTTACTACCATCTACACATTAAGGTTGTTCATCCCTGGAAGTTTAAGCAAAATCTGCCATCCGGTTTAAGAGGAGTTGCGTTCACAAAATTTCTATATGGTATATTGTGAAAAAATCAACAAAGGGCCATAATTCTATTAAATTTGGTCAAAGCATAAATTCCTTCCTTTACTACCATCTACACATTAAGGTTGTTCATCCCTGGAAGTTAAAGCAAAATCTGCCATCCGGTTTAAGAGGAGTTGCGTTCACAAAATTTCAATATGGTATATAGTGAAAAAATCAACAAAGGGCCATAATTCTGTAAAATTTGGTCGCAGCAAAAATTCCTTCCTTTACTGCCATTTACACATAAAGGTTGTTCATCCCAGGAAGTTTAAGCAAAATCTGCCATCCGGTTTAAGAGGAGTTGCGTTCACAAAATTTCTATATGGTATATATAGTGAAAAAATCAACAAAGGGCCATAATTCTGTTAAATTTGGTCGAAGCAAAAATTCCTTCTTCCTTTACTACCATCTACACATTAAGGTTGTTCATCCCTGGAAGTTTAAGCAAAATCTTCCATCCGGTTTAAGAGGAGTTGCGTTCACAAAATTTCTACATAGTATATAGTGAAAAAATCAACAAAGGGCCATAATTCTGTTAAATTTGGTCGCAACGAAAATTCCTTCCTTTACTACCATCTACACATTAAGATTGTTTATCCCTGGAAGTTTAAGCAAAATCTGCCATCCGGTTTATGAGGAGTTGCGTTCACAAGATTTCGGGACGTACGGACATACGGACGGATGGACGGACGGACAGACGGATGGACGGACAGACGGACGGACGGACAAGTGCAACGCTATATGCTCCCACTTTGTGGGGGCATAAACACGATTTTTATTTTGAAAGGTCTGTCAAGTCACATTTGTTGTTTTGTCCAAGTTTGAAAAATTTCCATAAATAAATGGCAAAGTTAAGAAAATGAAAGCAAAATACAATCATCTGACCTTGTCAGTCGAATTCAAAGGTCAACGTCATATCTTTATTATTTAAAATATCTGTTTGGTCACAAGCGTTGTTTTGTCAATTAAAAAATCAAATCCGTACTTAATTAACACAAGAGCTATCAATGATCACATGTGTCACCAAATGCATGTTGTGGCTATAGTGTAGCAGGAGACACAAAAATCATTAACAGGGAAAAGGCGTTTTATTCAAGACTCATTACTAAGCCAAAAATCATTCAACTGGACAACAACTAAAGTACTTGACCTATGAATCAATCCTGTAAAGTTTCATTGAAATTGCATTAGTGGTATAAGAGGAAATGTCTGGGCAATTTTAAAAATAACAAGATTGCATTTCTGAAAAAAAAATATATGCCATCGTATCAATACAACACTAAATAAAAGAAACAGAAGTTGATTTTTTGTTTGTTTTATACAATTGAAGGTTCCCATAATGCAGATGTGTCCAATGATATTTCGCATTTCAAATGAAAGACAATGTGCAGATGTGTCTTATTTCAGATACAAAAGCCACAGTATAGTAATTGATTCAAAATACAAATTCAAAAGTTTTCTTACTTGATAAAAATGGAAAGTTAAGGTCACTGGTTGCTATGGAAAATCAATGGTTGTCATGGAAAGGCAATGGTTGCTACGGAAAGGCACTGATTGCTATGGAAAGGTACAGGTTGTTATGGAAAGGCACTGGTTGCTAAACAGGTCAGTAAGCCTAGCATTTAAGCAAAGTGCAAATCCTTCAAAGAATGTGGGAGACATGAAACCAAGGCTCAAATATTTGGCCTTTTAAGTGCAACCTCGAATTTAAGCCCAAATGGCTGACTCATGCCTTCTGCACATCGCCACAGTACGGTGTTCCGTTTTGACAAGCATGACTTTTTATTTAAGTCTGTACCCACGATGCACGATAATACGATGGGAAATCAGGATGGTACAATGGTGAAAATGCGATGGTACGATTGTGAAATCTCAATGGCGCGATATTACGATGGTGAAAACGTGATGTTACATCGCGTTTTCATAAATATACCATCGCGATATTACCATCGTACCCTCGGGTTTTCACTATCGTTCCATCGCTCCATCGTGATTTTATCATCGTGACATCGCGTTTTCACAATAGTACAATCGTGCTTTCACCATCGTACCATCGCGTTTTCACCCTCGTTCCATCACGTTTTCACCATCGTACCATCGCATTTTCACCATCGTGCCATGGCGTTTTACCCATCATACCATCGTGTTTTCAACATCGTACCATCGCGTTTTTACCATCGTGCCATTGCATTTTCACCATCATGCCATCGTCTTCCGGTGGTCATGCACAATGTTATATTTTTATCAACAATGTATGCCTTCTCATTATTGAACCACGCCTTTTCTATTGGTGTATCTTTTAGATCTTAATATTTGGAACATAGAATGAACAAAAGGCAATCACTCAAAAATTGAGAAAAAAAGTTGTGATCCTTGTGCACTGTACATATAAAGTTTCAAGTTGATGTATTAAATTTTTTTGTTTTGTTTTGCGTTTTACGTCACATCGACACAGTATAGGTCATATCGCGACGTTCCCGCTTTACTTGACCTCAAGTGCCCTTCCGTGCATTATTTCAGGCATGAACCGGCACCTGAGTAGAACCACCGACGTTCCGTAAGCTTGCTGGATAGCTTCCTCACATGAAAGAATATAAAGTCCCTGTCGGGATTCGAACCCACAGCGGTGAGGGGCAAGTGTTTTGAAGTCAACGACCTTAACCACTCGGCTACGGACGCCCCATGTATTAAATAAAGCAAGAGAAAAAATGCAAACATATATATAGCATATATAACCATATATTGAATAGTTGTTGATCTATATACAGTATCACGACATAAATTGAAAATATAATGTAAAGATAACAGGTTTATTTTTTATAATTCAAATCAAATATCAGGTTTTCTAAACTTGTTTTGATTATCTACCGTAACAGACTCTTTCTGTATATGTACTGATTATACTGACCGAAAGGCGAAGGTACGATGGCACGATGGCACATTGGTGAAAATGCGATGGTACGATGATGGAAACGTGATTAAGAAGAACCACCAATGTTTGTTGGATAGCTTCCTCACATGCAAGAAGTCCCTGACATAATTTGAACGCACAGCAATAACAGGGATGTGATTTAAAGTCAACAACTCAAACTATATAACATATACTATGAATAATAAAGGTTAACTTTACCTGAATTACATATTTTTTCAATGATTTCTGTAAGCTGTGGTCCAAGTTTTGCAGATTTCATGACCATTCTATTCTCTTGGCCTGGAAACATCTTCACAGCTGCATCAGAACAAAGGTAAACGGGCTGACTACCTTTCCTAAACTCAATCCACTTGTCAGAAGCCAGGGGTAATAACTCAAGGTCTTGAAGAATGGCAAAATTTTCCTTGTTTCTTACTAAATAGATAAAGATATTAATTTTGTCCTTGTGTGTCAATTCCTTATATTGTTGTTGTTGTTTCAGTTGCAAAGCTAATGATTCCTGGGTGAGATCTTTTATGTATGGAAAATGTGCTTGCAATGTGTCAAACAAGGAAAATGGAATGTCAATATACTGGACGCCTATTTTCTGAAAACATCTCACGACAGATTCCTGCAGTGCAAAATCACCTTCACTACTGGACAATGTCCTAAACGTTGCAAAGAATGCTTTTCTTACGCCGATCCATTCCCTTGTGTGCATTGCATATACCATTTCTCTTTTACAAAGATATTCATAAAGTTTATTTTCTAACTGCATCCATCTCTTGTGGGTCTTTCTTGGTGATGATTTACATGTTGGCAATGTGTTATATACGGCCTTTATAGACATTTCATCATTTGAATTCTTCTTGGAAACTTCTATAATTTCCAAGACAAGTAATTCATATGCTTTTGGAAGGGCTTCCTCAATCAGAGCTTTGTTCCAAAGAATTGACTTGTCATCTATTGGCCTTCCCTCTTGTTCCTCGGTCTCCCATTTCATATGGTGTCGGTTTTGGCTGAGTGCAAAGAAACCATTTACATGCACAGGTAACCCAGTCAACCGCTCACCTTCCTTTGGCAACGGCAGGAAACAAAAAACATGTCCCTCAAAGTCATCTTCAATTTCTTTAAGAGGTGTTGCAACTCCAACATATGGGCTGTATCCTAGATTTTTATCTAGTATCAATTTTCGGAAACCAGCTGATGCACTGTCTTTTACAAAGTAGTTTACAACCAGCCATTCCTGACGCTCTTCTTTATCACCATACAACATGTGTATTACAAGGTGTATTGTAAAATGTATATCTGGACACTCAGCGGTTATATTTTGGTTCTGAATTTGGTCCTTAAAAGCTTGCCGGGTACATCTTACAGCACCATCTTTGTCCTCAATTTCCAGTCGGAGAGTTTCGTTTATTTTTCTGTCCTTATCCCTGGTATGCAATGATATTTTCTCAATATCTTTAAGAAATAGTAATATGTTTGATGCATCCGATGCAAATGAATCAAATAGATTTTTAACCTTACTTTCATTGTACAAAGTTTCTGAGAGAACGGACGGGTTTTCACGAAGTGGGAACCAAAATATGGTACCTTGGAAGCCATCTTTTGGCAGAGTTGCTCTGCAAAGACCGAATGTATCCTCTAAGGCTTCCCAAAATGCTTTTGCATCTAGTCCCTCCTCCTCATAATCCTCAAGCGTACACAGGTCTAGTGAAATGTTAACTCTCTTTCCAGATTTCTGGGGGTTTATCAAAAGTACTGTTTTACCACTTATGACACAAGGAAAGTCTGAAATTACATTATGAAATAAAATTAAATTATATAAATAAATTTTTTACATGATTAACAGTTAGGGTTTCTATTAAATGACAACATATGAATGCATTATTTTGGGTTAACTTTTCTATACTTAATTGCATGTTGTTGATATTGCAGATGGCTTACATAATACAGTGTACCTTCTGAAAACGAAACATCTGTGGAACAAGTTAAAATGTTCGGAATATGGTAGTTTCAGGAATTAAGAAGTTTGGAATTATCTAAAAAAGTAGAAACATAAAAATTCAATCGTTTAAGACATGATTAGAAATATATGAAGCTGGTTTAATCCATAAAATTGTAAAATTATAGAATTTTTAAAAAAAGTTTATAACTTTTTTCAAATTTTATTACTATTTTAAACTTTATCACCACCTTTAAATAGACGGACGGAGGGTGAACCTACAGTCCCTTCCAGTTAACCAGTAGGGGACAAATAATCAAGAACTGATTTTTGAAATAGGCAAATGCCCATCAAGCAGGGTCGAGTAGGGGAATTACCATGACATTGACTTGCATTAAAGGCATGGTATCTATAAAAAGCGTGTTTCACTAATATTGAAACATTATACCAATTTTTTTTCTCATATTCTCAGTTAGCCTTTTTTTATTTTTAAATCCCTGATTGAATGACAAAATATGACTAGACACAGTTGTAACAATCAATGAAGTATTTTGATATTGTATAATCATCATATTTAAAACTAGTGGCCTGGACTTTAATTGTGACAAGTTTTCCTTATGTGCCACAGACATATACCTAGATACTTAAACTCCATTCAAGGATGGCAGAAAAGATGGATATAACTATCAATGTACTTCATGAACCTATAGACCTCAACAGTCGTAAATTGACCTTGATCTTCAAGCTACAAACTTATCACAGATTGGTCCAATCTAATTAAAATCAGCTCCTAAATTGCGCTACGCATTAGGATCAAACATTCACCCATAGGAAGTCATATCTCGTGGTCTTTAAAACAACCAATTATTGAGCTTTCATTATTTTGAAAGCGATGCGGCTTCTAATTTCAACCCTTGGAAAACCAATACAGAGTTGGTAATTTTCATTATTTCGAAACCAAACATGACATTGTCCATATAGACGACAGGTAAACTAGCAAAACATTCTTGCCCATTCAAAACTGGCTCAATTTATTCAAGTTATTTTGTTAAAAATTACTTCAATTATTTTTTTAACAAAAATCAACAATTTCTTAAACTTCCACAGATAACGGTATTTTGATACTTTTTTAATGCCTGTCAGTAAAACAGGTTGCATGGCTAAAAATAGCTTTTTCGGGAAATCCGAATAATAAAGAAGGTTAAACATTTACGGTCGTCATAAGATCTACATGGAAGAAATAAGTAGATCTGAACTTTTGTCAGATTGAGATTGTTTTAAAGAATCATATTCTTAAAGTATGTTTCAATAAAATCAGTCACTTATGATGACAAAAAGTCATGGACTGGACATGACTATCAATCATATCATGACTTTATACATTCTAGTAATTGAACTTGATCTTTGGACTATAATATCAATAAGCGGCATTATTTATGCATAATTATAAATATGTCCATCTATGAATGACAAAGCTATGCACAAAAGAAGACAATGTATTCACAATCGTTATGACAATGTACTTAATTGAGGAAAATCATATCATGACTTTGGAATATAAGTGTGACCTTGACCTTTGAGATAAGGTCCTGATTCATGCTTGCTACACACTGTCATTATAACAAACACATTTATGCATAATGATTCTTAATCCATCCATCTTTGACAGAACTGTTGATCGGACACGAAACAAATCCCTAGATGTCAAATTGTGACCTCAGGCCTAGATGTTGCACATGGTATATTGCCCAATATGTTACACAAAATTATTTAAAAATCCATCTATAAATGACAAAGTTATGGACAGCACAAAGTTCGTACGGAAGGACATCGGACAGACGGATGGATGGACGGACGGACAAGGGAAAACCTGAATGCCCCAAGGCCCATAATGGGAGCAGAAAAATCAATGAAGGGTCACAACTATGACAAAAATCATCGATGACATGCAAATTTAGATTTGGTACTTATCATTCCTGTAACACTGTCGAGTACGTGAAACGGTGCAGATATAATTATTCAACTGTTCTTATTTTACAATATTAACCGGATTTGTCTTAATGCATAGAATTAAATTGACTCGTACCTTCTTGTTCCATCTTGAACGGAAGCACCGTAACACGGAGATTCTGTAACGTTTTACGTACCCTGCAGTGTGTACATTTGAATGAAATTGTACCAGTAGATTTTTGGAGCAGTAAAGACAATGTTTCTGAAGGATGGAGAGAGGCGCAACCGAAATGGAATGAGGGGTCATTTCTCGCGTTACTTTTTTGTGTTTGGAAGGCCGTTGGCGCTGTATTCTACTATTACAAAAAGTACTCTATGTACTTTTTTCCTCTGTTTACAATTATATGGTCACCTATTTCATTTTTGGTGGTGGACCGACAGATGAACAGATAGACAGAGAAGTGATTTACTAAAGAGCCATTCACTCAGCCACATGCAATCATTCAACCCGAAAACCCAATAAATACTGGATGTACAACCATACCATGTTTGGTGTTTCTTGTTTCTTAAATAAAACAAATGAGAAGAAGAATATTATAGTAAAGTGAATTCCTACAATACAGTCACAGGGGATAAGAAGAATGTGCAGCCAGACAGGGCCTCGAATCCTGAACCCGCGGAACACCGTTTCGCGGCTCTACTGTTTGAGTTATCCGCCCAATTTTATATCTTCTCACCTAAATAGTGAACAGTTCTGAATCTGAGAAACCACCTCGCTTTGCTGAAATTGGTCCTCGAATTTCTCAGTTTTACAGAGCAAAGAACATTAAAATCTGAGCTATATCCAGTCACGACCTCATAAAGGGCGCACGATATTACAGCGTGAGATATGGGTAGCATGACTGGGACTCGATCCAAGGACCCTGCTCTATGACTGAGCAATTCAGCCACTTTCACAACTCTCCCCCAAACAGTTCTGATCCGTGACATAACAAACGAAATTCAATTTTCATTTTGACCTTAATAGTCAGGGTCATTAAATGTCAATGTCACATTTTATTTATTCGTCACGTCAGTTTTGACATGAATAATCTTTTGTCTAAGAAGGATATATAAATAACATTTTTTTGTAAATTTAAGCAAATTTCAATGATTTGACCTCAGTGGTCAATATTAAATAAGGTCAAAGTCATATTAGAATAATTGAACATGTCATTTTGTACACATATGTTTTTTTGTCAAAGTATTAATCAAATCTGTAAATAACAACAGCGATACGACAATTAAAATAAAGCTATATTATGCTAGAAGCATTTGTAAGTATTACCTGTTAAGTGAAAAACAGATTTGAATCCTAAACCAAACCGTCCCACTTTCATTGGGTCTTCTTCTTTGTTACTACTGTATATCATTTGTATACCTTCCCAGTCATTCTCTGAGAACACTGCATCATTGTACACACAAAGTGCTGGACCCTATAAAGTAACAAAAAACATACAAGTCATGTGCAGCTAATAACTGCATAATTGAAATGAATGACGACATGTCATTACCTGTATATTGTAAATCATGAAACAAATCGGAATAACAAATGTCATCAAGAGATTTAACTGAATCAACAGAATGTGACTAGAACTATTACTAAAACCCAACCTTAACTATATGTATGAAATGATCTAAAGCCGAATTGCAACTGGACCTGTATTCTATAATGTTTCATCTGTGTACAAATCAATTGCCTTACTTATATACATGTATAATCATCTACTAACCATTCTTTAGTAAAAACAGAAAGACGAGAAACATCGCAATGCCACAAAACCAGGCTTTCAACTTTCATGTTTCCCATAGTAATCCCTTGCTATACACAATGTTATATGTATATATGAAAAATATTTTTTCAAACGCTTGTTATTGACCAAAAACCGCTCTTTTATTTTTAATCATAGTGCCGCTGACCATAGCTGACCCAAATGTAACCTCAATCACTGTTTTCACGTAAGCATGCGATACACCAAATTCTGTTGAGATATCTTATTCCTAACTAGTTACTGACCGAATTTCATGTTTCTATTTTTAGTAACAGAGGCACTTAGGGGATGCCAAAAACAAACTCAAGCAAAGTCTTCACATATACTAACAAAAGCAAAACAAACCCTGGTCCTAAATAAAATAAGCTTACTTTAAACTAAGTTTAATTGAAATATCTCACTCTTTTCTCTAGTTGTTGACTTGAAACAGTTTTCTTCTTTTAGAAAAAGTGACATTGACATTGCGGGACACAAAATCAGACTGATGAGCTGGCAGATATGCATCAAACTAGATGGTTTCTGTTCATTAACAGTATAAAGTTTGTTTTAATGTAGTAGTTGTGATTAATAGGATATTACACTATATATTACATATATGGAAAAAAGAAAAGGGCCAGACTTATGTCAAAAACTATTGAAACAAATAACAGCGAAAATAGGCGTCATGGCATTATGGACAAAGCAACTGTGAAAGTTTGGGCAAAGTCTCTTGCCAAATGTAAAGGCAGCGCATAGAAGAAATTGTTCACTATATATTCCATAAAACGGGAAAAACAAAAGACTATAAATAGGTTAAAAATTATCAAATCACAAAACCCCTGGAATATGCGCCAGGACACAAGATGACAATGCTTCTGTAAACGTTTGGCTAAAATCCGATAAAGAAATGTATGGGTTGCGCACAGAAGAATGCTGTCACAGCTTCTGTAAAGTTTGGACAAAACCTTTTTTAAAAGGTAGGAAAGTTTTTGCACGGAAGATAATGTTTACATCCGCCCGCTAGCCTGCCAACAAACCTCAATACAATAACCAGCGTTTTCCTTTGGAAAAATTGGTTAAAAAGCGAGATAAGCAATGAAAATATAAAAAATATTCTTTTGAAGTCAATTTGAAAAAGAGGCATCACAAGGCAGGAACATTAAAGAAAAAGAGTTTTTCAGTTTTATTATTATCATAAGTCTGTCTAGTCAAACTTGTTCTTTTGTCCACGTATGAATCATTTCTAGAGGAGAATCCTTTTACGACATATTTTCTAGACAACTCTATATAAACTAAAAGGCCATTCTTGACCCAAAGGTAATAATTAATATCATTTTCGTTAAGGTAAACAGTGCAATGCTTAAACCAAAAATAATTCAGTCCCGCGCAGTAAAGTTTCCGATTAGATGACAAAAATGTGTTTACTATACATGTACATGTATAAGTCTAAATTAAAATATCCAAATCCAAATTACTGTTGTAAAGGGCCACATCACATGCCAAATATCTATGCCCTGGATATAATAGTTTATAGAGAGATCAAAATGACTGTTGTAAAGGGTCACATGTCATATACGTGAGCGTAGGTCAATATTGCACCCTAGGGCATGATTATATTGTAGTAAAGAAAACATGGTGAATGGTGGCTGATGGATAACTTACTCATTGCTTTAACAAAAGCTAATCTTTGTGTACAAAGTGCTCAGGTAAGCAAAAAATAAGTAGTTTCTGCACAATTGTATGCAAGTTCCATAACTTAAGAGAAGGGAGAGAATCCAAAATTCCTACCTTAAAGAATTTCGTAGAAATTGGAGTTGTCTCACATTGGCTGCTGGTATTTTGGTTTATTCTCCTTTTATCATGAAGAATTCTAACTTCTCTGGCACCAGCGTCCTCTGCATTTTGGATCAACTCCTAAAAATGAATTTAAACTTAAGCTATCTATAAAATGCGTATCTGATATTCTTTTCTAATAGCATGTTTTAAAACAGATAAGAAGAGTAAGCGATAGAGAACAAAGACAAATATAATGTGTACTTTCAAACAAAGTCACATGCTAACTCAAACAGCTCATCATAGAGATAATTAACTACGTCACAGTAGATGCTGATATATTAATTAATTTAAATTATGGTTACCTATTTGAAAAGGGTTCCTTAAACGACAATTACATGCACGTTTAACCTCATTTAAAGAGGATTGAAAATAGTGTTTGATACAACAAACTTCATAGAATACAGGTGAAGTGAATATTATATAAATGGCTTCAGCTTCATATCAAATTTATAAACATAAATATATTATTAAATATATTCAAAATACCTTCAGTATTTGACCACCATCTGGGTATTCAGATAAAATTCCTTTCAATTGTTTGATCAATGGTGGCTGTTTCATCTCCGAATATCGGATATTCTTTCTCTTCTTGACGCTGCCACTACTTGCAGACGCTAGAAATACATACAAATTGATCTTTAAATATGATTAAATATAGACTGACAAAAATACATTTAAGAAGGACCTTCTTTAACAAATGATTTACCAAATTTATGACCATTTGTTATACATACTATTTGTTTACTTTATTGTAAGACGCACGATTAAAATGACATTTTACAGAAACCTGCATGCAAATATCTAAATTTTATTTAAATACTACCTGCCTGATGCATTTTTTACAATATTGGAACGTATTCTGGTCATCGTTAAACTTCCGTTACACTTTTACAAATAATGAACAATAATCTATAAAAGTAATTAACTTCTCCATTACACTTAAAATCATAGTGAACAACAAATCAAATATAACAAATCCTTTAAGTTACTAATCCATTAGAAATTATTGCAGAGTTCTGTATTTAAACTCACAAACCCAATATGATTTAATTAGCAGCATTAGACCTCAAACTCTATTATAAATGTTTAGGGTATGTTTAACATTCTTGCTTCTTTGAAAACAACTTAATATTTGTACTAGAAGACCACTAACGTAACAAGTTCCGTACAGTGTATAGAACTAAGCTATATTACCTAGAAATAATTGACGAATGTGTGATTCCGTCATTCCACCTGGATTCAGGTCAACGATACAACACATTTTTTAGTAAATGTACATATATAGGATTTTTGTGTTTATTTTAACGACTACATGTCGTAGAAAAAAAATATTTCAAAACTTTACATTTATTGTATTTTCAGGTCTTGTAATCTATTTATGCATCAGATCATTTTCGGCCTTGTTGAACTGTTCGAAGAAAATACTTCGAGGGGTATAGACTTTTAGAGCAACGGACACAAGTTTTCTGATATTTGACCGTTACCCTTCAACAGTGACCTTGACTTCAAACAGGAGCAACTGTGGCATACCTTCTACATATTGCATTGTTTAAATAAAATTCAGCCAAGTTTGAAAGAAATCTGAGGTAAAGGTTTTAAAGAGCGGTCACAAAATTATGAATTAACCTTGACCTTTGAGCTAGGGATCAGATTCTTGCACGCAACTTGCCATCAAAATGTTCAACCCTTTGATGCGTACTGATAGTAACTGTAAATTCCTTACATGAATGACAGAAATATAGACCGAGCTAGAACATCAGTGCACTTATATAAAAATCAATATTATAACCTTAGATCTTTAAGTGCATTCTTGAACTTGAGCTATAGACTAATTCTTATGTGCGACACATCATCATAATGTTCAACACATTTATGCATACTTATTTTTATATCCACTCAGGAATGACAAATGTTGTCAGGACACAAACAACAGTGCATTGCTATATCATTTTTTAAGTCAAAGTATTACCTTGACCTTTGAGCTACATACCTATACCTTGCAAGCGATACATTATGTGCGTTTCACATTTATGCAGAATGATATTCGAATTCATCCATTAATTACAAAGTTATGAACTGCACACGAAGTCAGGGCAGACGGACAGACGAATGGATGAATATACTTACAGACATACGGAAGCTATAAAAACTATATGCCTTCAAATTCTGCAATTGTATTCATACCTTTTGATTGACATCTGCCATGTTTAGCTGTTAAAACGTTTGCCGCTGTTTCGTCCGGAATATCCATTAATCTTTTAGATTGGTTATCTGAAAATATTCTTATCGAATTATAAGTACGAAATTATTTGTTGTTATTTTGTTCTGTAAATGAAGTTGGGTGCATCTGGTATATGTAGCAACATCATTTGTAGATGCCCACAAGGAAATACAACATGTCAATTATGAAAGCTTTATGCATTGTGTTTTTACACATGATAACTTAAACGAATTTTAATTACCTTTTTAAATTAGTGATCACAAGACACTTTCACTTTTGTTAAGAACCACCATAACTGGGCAACATAGATTTTTACAGGAATACCTTTAATATTTTCCCTACATAAGTGTACATAAATTAAGGAGCCCCAGGGATGGAGCTAACTTTGTTCAAAGGTGAATTATTTGCATATTTTTAGAGGACATAAAGGTAATGCAACATAAACCAAATATCTAAGCGCTGGGCATAATAAGAAACATTGATACATTTTTCTATATAAGACTATATAAATGTGGTAACTTCATAGACTTGACAAATTAACAGTGACATTATGCCTATCCAAGGGTATCAAGGGAGTGAATAGGTAATAGTTTAAACAAGTTTTCAATGTTATAATTTACTTCGTTTGAATGATAAATAACGCATGTTTGGTAAGGAAACTTAGGTTAATATCCATCAGAATTTACCTGTCACGTTCAAATTATAAAAAGCGTGGGGCAGTCTTTTTATATTTTAGACATATTTATGTTTTATCCAAAACACTTTTCAATATCAACTGTTGGTAAATCACCATTAAAACAGTCAATCTTTTGAAATATATAGTCAATTCAGCTCAACTTGACAATGCAAATATAAGCATAATGTCACTTTAACGCAAGATGCATGATTTTTAAAATATATATATAGATAACATCTTAGCTCTCAGCGTTGCAGTTTCACTTCACAAAAGTCTTAAATGCATTTTAGAATACTATTAAAGTCTGATTTTACCCATTCAATGACCCTAGCGCGGCGCCAATCTTGAATCCATGTGCATAATGTAGTTGACTTGTGTTAAGACGACCACAATGTGGTACTACAGGCAAAACATTTTAGGTTCCGAATGAAATCTTTTAAGATAATTTTACAATACATTTCTTTGTAAATAAAGATTCCTTCAAGGCGGGCCATTTTTGCCGTGGGAAAATAACTAATGTAAACATATGAAGAGGTCCATTAGGCAATGTCATATGCTTAAAATCTAAGCTTGGTAATTGTATTTTCGGAGGAGAAAACTAAAATGTATTGTCCAATATAAGTCTATATCAACCAAGACACTCCAGATTTTAATCACTTTTGTAGAAGATAACAAGGTAATAATATATGCCAAATATCTAAAAGTTCTGTTCATTTTATTTAATTTCTTGTTATTTTTATTTTTTAGCCTTAAAAAAGAGAATTAGATAAAAGTTGGATATTTTCTAATTGATCACTTATTTGTCAAATTTACGGAGCGCAGTTGAAGAGCGATTTCAAATATTTTAGCGAAATGTTTTGTCAGATGGAAAAGGGTGGTTTAATTTTTGTATTGATTTGATATGAAATTAACATGTTGATTGGGAAAAAATGACTTAACTTGATTGTCAATGTTCAGAGCTGAGCGAAAGTATATTTGTCTTCTAAGATTGCTTTACGGTATAACTTGTGTTATTTTTTATTGGACATGTCTATACTGAAAAAAACAACATTGAACATAAACTTCACTTCTGATGTTTTCACTTCAAAATGAAAGAAATAATGTTCTTATGCAGTTGTGCTTTAAATTTCTATATTGAAAAATATATCTTCTTAGTTTGTTGGCCCACAAAATGAAACTTTGAAAAACATGTTAAATTTGTACAAATACTTTATGATGTTGATGGGCATTTAAGTCCGAATCGTTGAGCTTGTCTCGAATATTAGTGGCATAACATTTTCGTTAACTGACTAGTCTAAAAAAATGAAATGAATATTTTAAGCCACGACGAAGTTTTATTTAACTTCTAGATCTACTGCAGTAGATAACTAGAACTGTGTCCAAAGGACACGGATGCCCCCACTGACAACATATATATGGTATATAGTGAAAAAATCAACAAAGGGCCATAATGCTGTTAAATTTGGTCGCAGCAAAAATTCCTTCCTTTACTACCATCTACACATTAGGGTTGTTCATCCCTGGAAGTTTAAGCAAAATCTACCATCCGGTTTAAGAGGAGTTGCGTTCACAAAATTTCTATATGGTATATAGTGAAAAAATCAACAAAGGGCCATAATTCTGTTAAATTTGGTCGCAGCAAAAATTCATTCCTTTACTACCATCTACACATTAAGGTTGTTCATCCCTGGAAGTTTAGGCAAAATCTGCCATCTGGTTTAAGAGAAGTTGCGTTCACAAAATTTCTACATAGTATATAGTGAAAAAATCAACAAAGGGCCATAATTCTGTTAAATTTGGTCGCAGCAAAAATTCCTTCCTTTACTATCATTTACATATTAAGGTTGTTCAGCCCTGAAAGTTAAAGCAAAATCTGCCATCCAGTTTAAGAGGAGTTGCGTTCACAAAATTTCTATATGGTATATAGTGAAAAAATCAACAAAGGGCCATAATTCTGTTAAATTTGGTCGCAGTAAAAATTCCTTCCTTTACTGCCATCTACACATTAAGGTTGTTCATCCCTGGAAGTTTAAGCAAAATCTGCCATCTGGTTTAAGAGGAGTTGCGTTCACAAAATTTCTATATGGTATATAGTGAAAAAATCAACAAAGGGCCATAATTCTGTTCAATTTGGTCGCAGCGAAAATTCCTTCCTTTACTACCATCTACATATTAAGGTTGTTCATCCCTAAAAGTTTAAGCAAAATCTGCCATCCCGTTTAAGAGGAGTTGCGTTCACAATATTTCGGGACGTACGGACAGACGGACGGACAGACGTACGGCGTGACGGACGGACGGACAGACGGACGGACAAGTGCAACGCTATATGCTCCCACTCTGTGGGGGCATAAAAAAGATTTAGATATTCAAGTTAGACATAGACGTTTTAGAGTAGATATCTACTGTGGTACATTATATGTACTGCAGTAAAGAAAAAAGTAAACATTCACATGAGCGACGTTAAAAAGAATCGAAATAGTGCACCGTTGTTGACGATTTTTTCTTGTCAACAATCTAATTAGAAGCGGTGTTGTTTTTAACGTTAAACTTTATATTGATAAGTCGGTCTGACAGTCTGTTGAAAAGAAAAGAATGAACGGCCAGTGAAATCTAGATCTACTGTTTTAAAAAATATTGATATTCAACTTTTCATCTTTCAAGCATTTACTACAGTAGTGTGTTTATAAAAAAATAAAATTCAATAATGGTCTGAACTTAGCAAAATTGCGACTCTTCTATGAATTTCTTCCAGCACCAAAAAAATTCTTGATGTACTGTATGTTTTGAAGCTCATTGAGATTTCATGTTTATTTTTTGTTTATAGACAAAATCTTTATTTGATATTTTTGATTTAGTTTGCAAATATTACTTTTGCTTTCATCAATTGTATAAGCTCAGTGTACTGGAATTTATAAATCTGTGTGTGACTTTAAACTTTTGTTCAAACATGCAGAACTGATATATTTGCTGTTGTTTAGTACTGCAAGAAAATTGAACAGGCTACCGGAGTTAATTTTCCGACAGAGTTTTGATTAATCTTTCCAGTGACCAATTTTTACAGAATGTTTTTCTTTCATTTCTGTAATGTTTCAACGTAAATCTACAATCATGATATTTTAATTTCACGCAGCCTCTTGAAAAAAGTATTTCCTTGCAATTGTTACACCCCTGAATTGACGGGACAATATACAGTAAAAAAAAGGAAAAGAGCATTTTCAAAATTGATATTTGGCCTCCATTTAATGTTTTGTTGATTTTTTCTAAAAGTAAAATTTACTGTAAATTCATAGACTTAGAGAGACAATGCATTAAATAAAAAGATTAAATCTACTATTTAAACTCGGCAAAAATGTAACCGTACTTTACAATCAACTTTTGTGATTGCAAAATTTTGTATATTGAGGAACAATGCACTTTAATCATAACTTTCATGTAGACATTTTTGTATCATTTCAGTTGAGGTGTTGACAGTAATCACTGATGAATATGAAACCAAAGGGTAAACTTTTTCAAGTTCGATCATATTTGTTAATTATTTTGATTTCGATTGTTAAAGTAATATACAGTTAGATATTGTTTTTTTTTTGTGTTTATTTTTTCGTGTTTTTTCCATAGAAAGTATTCCGAGATATCACACTTTTTCCAGATTTGTAGTTAACGTCTAATAAGAAATATTATATAAATGAATACCCTACGAAGCTTCGGCATAAACAAGATAAACGTCAATTAATGTGTACGCTTAAACAAAAGTATGAAATATAACGAAAATAGACTTAAGACGTTTGACACCAACCCGAAACAAATGTTAGGGATAACTACTAACTGGCAAGTGTGGGATTGTACTACAGTGGAAAATGAAACATGTGCGATAGTTTCAGATTTCACGTAAAATATAGCGCCTGGGCAAGATCAGACGACGCACAAGTGGTCGCCTAACTGCGAATATATCAAAATATTTTTAGACGCTCCTTAACAGAAACCAACCCCAATAGGCGGATTCGGTGGTTTAAGTTTTGAATCAACACGCAAGTGAACACCTTGCGGGTTCGGGTTTGGAGCATTGTGTTCATCTACGACTGGAGCAAATTTGTTTGTCAATAATTAAGGGTAACACAACCGATCAAACACATTGAATATGTTATTACATTTATGTATGGCCTAGACTTGATAGACTGAGATACTATCAACTAAGATGAAATTTGTTTTAACTATTGTATGAATATACATATGGAATCAAAAATATGTATAACTGGAAGCAGGTTTTGTCTTCTCTGCGCGCATATCTAGCTTTTGTTGGGAAGCGTTCGATAGTATTTTTCCTTCTTTTTCTATTGATGGTTACCAACCTATTATCGTAACACTGTAAAACTGTATCCCTATATGGGGGCATGAAAATCGCTTTCATAATAATTATCCTTGTCTTACAGCTGCAACTTATCATGATAAACAGGTATTCGAAGATTTATGTATGTGATTTACTCATGGGCTACAAAAATGTTTTCGAGTCAACGATGTTTTTTTTTTCTTTGTTCCAGCCTACCTGTTGAAGCCCCTCCGTGCATTATCTCAGTCACGACCAGGCACCTGAGTAGAACCACCGACGTTCCGTAAGCTAGCTGGATAGCTTCATCACATGGAAGGATCCATGGAAGGAGACGTCGTCGACAACAACAACAACGATGACCACCTAGCATTCATAATATCCCGTGTTTTTCATGTTTAAAGGCAAGCATATGATCCAGTAAGTATCGACTCGAATAGCCAAAAGCCAGTAACCTTATGACCCAAAGTGGGGCAAAATAAGTTAAACTACAATGCTTCATATCATAATATCAATGAACTTACCTGTCTGTCTTACGGCATCTTCAATCTCCCTTGAACCAACGGAAGGTGTCACTGTAATTCGAGTGTGTAACTCTTCAAAAACTGCTTCTGATAGTTCATTTAATCTATTAGTAGCTCCACCATTTTCAAACATTGACCATAGATGTCTTCTCCCTTCTTCCGTTTTAACTTCTATCGGCATCCGAATGGTTCGTTTATAAATAGTTCTATCCCTATCTGATGTTTCGGAGTCTACAATGTAATAGTAGTTTTTTAATTAAAAATTTTTCTTAAATTATTTTTCAATTACTTTTACCAGTTTTTGTAGGAAGGCCATTCTATTCCATGCCTATGATATTATTCGTCTTCCCGATAAACATTGATTGATTTGAAAGTAACAAATATTTGTAGATTAATCAGGATATCCAAAAGACTGACGTTTACCATGTCATTATATGTATACTTATTTTGTCTTTTTCCTTACTATCTGTTTCTTTTACGAAAACCTCCCCTCAGCCTCATTTACCACCCGCAAACCCTTTTTAAATATTTTACATTCTTAGGTATGAGTAACAATATTTTGGTATTTAGAGTATACATAATTAGAAAAATAAATATTTAACATCACTTTTCAAAAAGAAACCATAACAATTTCGATCTCTCTCCCTCCCTAAATAAGTGGTGTAAAACCATTTGAATTTGATGTTGTTCTTAAAATATAAAAAATATGATAATAAGCAATGGTTTGTTACATTAAGAATGTTTAAAATTGAGAACCGCTCAAGTCGGTCCTAGGGATGTGGGGGATGCTGCACTTTTTCATTGCTCTTGATGTACAGACTCGATCAAACCGAGTCTGCAATTTTTTGTATTTTTGTTGATTTTGATGCTTCCGAGGGCTCACTTTCGGATATTTAAACATCACAACAGTTCGTGTCATGTTGCAGCCGTTAAACGTTGCACGTGCTCCGCTTCAGTGTTGCTATATTTTTCTGGTCTTTCGGAATCATTGATTCGAGCTCTTTTAAGTGTTGAAAATTGAGTACCGCTCCAATCGGTGCTAGGGGTCGTGAGGAATATTGCACTTATTCATTTTACCTCATGTACAGACACAATCAAACCGAGATTGCAATTTTCATGTTATCTTGCTGATTATAATGCTTCCGAGGGATTACTTTTTTCCAGATATTTAATTAGATACAGGACCCAGTACAGAAAACAAAAACAAAACTATGAAAACAGCAGTTATAGTATTTATATACATGTATATATTTGTATCAATACCAAGCCAATACTATATATGTCTAACGTTTTCCGCCAAATAATGTTACGTGAAATAAACCTCTTAGTAACAAAAATGAGAACAGTAAAATACTTTTTTAAAGCAGGATTCTAAGTTAAAAGAGAAAATAACTGGTGAATAAAATATCCTAGAGTTATGAACCTTGTCATACATCATATGAGGGCTGACAGTCAAATATTTCTTGACACATTTATACCTTATGTGGGTGATGATAGGCTACATATGTTTTACAGCAAATATAATAGAGTTATTGTAAAAGATAACCATTTTTAAGGAAAGGGGTATGCAGAAAATTCTGGAATTACTGAAGCTAAAGGTATAACATCCTAACATAAGATGTGCGTGATGATCAGGAACATATATTTGAAATTTGAAGTTAATCCCTTAAATAAAAGATAAAGAAATTATTGTAAAAACAAGTTTACTGTAAACTGGACGCGGGCATCGACACACACTTCGAAATGCATTTGACAGCCTCCCATATACTTTGTGTAGTCGAGTTAAAAATAATAAATAATAGCTTTTCCTACAATGGTATGAAGGGTTTCGTTTCTAATTGTTTGTTTTTTCTGCTTCTTATATTTTGATCATATCTCAACGATTGACCCATCCACTTTCTTGGTTAACAAACAAGTATATGCTAATAATTTCTCTGATTGGACTGCTAATTCAACATGATATCTTAACCAGCTGTGCGAGAGAAATGACCATTAGAGTCCATGTTCGAGATTTGTTCATAAGAAACACAATTTAATAGTTTGACTGGTACCTTATTAAATGATGTTTGATCTATCATTTGTACCACTAAGGGGATATACGTCATATTTTTCTTGTGTCTTTTAAGCGTATGTGCCAAAATAAGTCAGAAACAGGCAAAAAACTTTGGATAAAAATCTCTGGATAAAGTGTGATCCTACTGAAGCATTAATCACAACAAAATTACATGAAAAATGCAGACTCGGTTTGCCTGAGTCAGTACATGAGGGTTAATGAAAACGTGCAGCATCCCTAACGCCCCCCAGCACCGGCTATGGTGGTACTCAATGTTCAACACTTAAAAGAATCAATAATCCTGAATGATCAGAAAAAATATATTATTACAAGAGAACCGCATAGGTGTGGCAATATACGCTCAAATGCAAAATTGTATTAAGTAATTAAAATTTAAAGTAATCAAAAATATCTTTTAAACAGATATCCATTTATAATAAGAATGAATGCATGAAAATAAGCTTTTCTATCTCTGTGACCCCTGGGCCAATCAAAACAGAGTTTTTATATCAAATGATAACAAAATGGACAAAAATCCTCATAAAGGGGTGTCTACGGGGCACGCTTGCTTACCTACTTGCTCTGTAAATGCCGTAAGTATAAACAATTTCCCACAATCAAACCAATGTTAATGAAAAAAACTAAGATTATACGGAATTAAGCTCACAGAACATATGATGATAGCCCGAAAGACAAGTTTATTTTATCATCCCCTTCCAATTTTCTTTTCGGCAGGGGTTAAGTAAAGTAAAATATATAATAATTCAAATATTAAAATTAAGTAAAAAGTAAATAAATATTAAATGGTAAAGACTTACATAGTGTATCTGAAATATCTTTTAAGCATTATAAAGTCACGGAATTCAGCTCATAAACCATCGGGGACACGCGAATTTAAGTAACCCCCTACCGATTTTTTTTCAACGGGGCATTAAGTAAAAGTGCAATAAATATATCAAAAAATAATTTTAGTTAAACAGTTAAATAAACATTAAATAGTACAGACTTACTTAGTGTATCAAAGATATTCTTTAGGCATTCCCAGGTCACGTCCGCATCAATTTTTATTTGTTTGCCCTTCAGTTTTGGAATTGTATTTAGAGAGACGGCAAGTTCTTTAAGGATACTCTTAAATGCATCGCTGTGCAAGTATACTAGGATACTGTGTAAACCGGCATATGTTTTACATTCAAATTTCAATATGATGCACTTATGCACTGCTTGAAGGACTTCTACTTCAGGCAAGTCTTTAATATCTTCCAGCATCTTTTCAACAACTTTTCGAATCTTTGGGTAATCGTCTTTATCTCCACCAGCTTTCCTTATTGCTTTATTGATAATTGTTGTGACTATACTCTCAGCGAAATCTATGTCGTCTTTTTCATTTACAGCTCCACTCAAAGTTAACTCTGTATCTATCACTAAAACAAGTATGTATCAATATTAAAGATTCAATATTAGCATGATGTAAAACACATTTATTTTGCAAATGCATGCACATCAACAACGTCGGTCCGACTTTTTTCACTTCTAAAGGAGGACACATCAGAGGACATGGAGACTTTGTAGTAGAGTGTTTTAAAATATATACACAGAATTGAAATTAAAAAATCATATTTGGTTTTGACAATAAAAGTCAATTACAGATCAATGTCAAACTTGAATGTAATTGTTAATGGCCATTAGAGTATGATAAAACATGTACATAAAAATAAATGATTTGACTTTGATGGTCAAAGTCATTTAAAAGAAAAATTATGTTTTAGAATTTTTGTAAGATTTTTGCCTGGTCACATGTATGGTTTCGTCCAAAAACGAAAGATATGCCTAAAAATAAAAAAGTGACAGTCAATTGTAACGAAATTTAATAATTTGACCTTGACTTTTTAGGTCAAATATAGGTTAGGTTCAAGTTTTTTCAAAGCATCTTGAAAGTCTTGTCCTTTTACATTTATAAGTTATCGCCAACTCTAACAAAAAAGCTGTGAAACAAAATAATTCAACCTTCAGGATCAAGGTCGTTTCAAATTCAAGGTCAAATACAGTTTAGTTTTATTTTAAAGAACTTGCTCTTAATGTTGTTGTGACAAAAACTGAAGACAATCTATTCATTATTATATGTTAGGGTCATGTTTAGTGAGATTTTCTTGAAGATACAAAAAATAGCTAGTCAATGTCAAGTTATATTTATCTTTTTAAAGAACATGTCCTTACGGGTTTTTTTAAGTTTATATGAACTAATATTAGTTCAGATGTGTTGGAAGCTATATGCTTCTTGAAACAGCATTGAATGCGCTGCTGGAACCAACCTATTCTTAGCAATGACTGTAAAGTTTTCTCAAAGAAACAACGGCTTGCACCTGACGGGATTGAATCAACACGGCCTGAAACCCTTAGATTACATGTCAGATGCGTTAACCACTCGACCTAAACGTGTATACCAAGTATGAAGACAATCCATTCATTAATAAAAAAGTAATAGCCTGCTAAAGTAAATTTCTAACAATTGTCAATAATTTAACCTTCAAAGTAAAGGTCATACATGAGTCAGGGTCAAGTTAAGATTTTAGGTTTTCTTGAAGTATCAAAGAATTCTGTGTCTAAAATGAAACAAAATTCATCCATTTGTACTTGAAGGGCAAGGTCATTTTTGAGTGAAGGGCAATTTCAATCTGATGCATTTTCAGGTCTTGTCCAAAGTCGTTTGTGTCCATGTATAAAGGTAATCCGTGAAGAAATACAATATATTTGGCCATCTTTAAATATCTTACACCGGTTACCGATACAGACAGTAAAATCTAGCTCGAGGGTAACTGGTTATGGCGGTAACGAGGCTCAGCCGAGTTTTCCGCTAAATAGTAACCCGAAATTTAAATATGCGTGTCTGTGACGACAGCCGGTGTTTGATTCTTTTTCTTGCATATTACAAATTAATGATATTCCGAATATAAATTACAAAAAAAACTAATATTTCAATTTAATTTTTTTTTTCTTTTAGAAGTGTATGAATTTACAACTTCGTTCTTAACGGCAGAATGACGTTTGTGAAGAATACAATTTTTTTATAAAAGGCTAGTGGGAATGAAGTCAGTTTAAGCACATTTGGATTGTAAGACAGGTTTTTCTAGCATCGGTGTAAACAGTCTATAATTTTATCTCATATACACGACATTAACATTTGTGACGAAAAAGACATCGGCAACAGAAACGTAAACGTCAATAATGAAGCAATAGCTCGAATCTTTTCATTAAAAAAGTGGAGCTAAAAATGATCTCACAAAATACAAATGTATTCCTAAAATATCTAGTATCTATAAATGATTTTAAAAAATGTCACTTTGGCTGTGTCACCAATAAAGAATCGAAGGTTTAGATATTCACTACTCATTTCACAACTAATTCATAATTTCCCTAAAGACTAAATTTAACATAGAATCAAGACCGATATGAAGATAAAGACAGATATTGATTTATTCAGAAATATAAATACCTACAAGGGTTCGATAAAAATTCGAATAAAAAAAACATAATGAACTATTATGAGAACACAAATATGTTTACTTTTAAAATATTAAGCCATACGACAAATTTTACGAAAAAACATCATTACATTTTTTTAAAATAGCTATTCTAAGATTCGAAAGTTTGCCAACCGTCTCAAGTCAAAATTTCAACAATTCTGTTGACAAAACATGTTCTTGTTTTACAATGATAAAAAAACAAGCACCTAGCGTGAGTTTTCCCGAATCGTTGACAAGTGAATTTTAAATTTTGACATCATACATCAACGCGTTCTAACACCACAAATGACTTACATAAAAATGGTGAATATGATGTTTACGAAAACAGAATATGACAAGGTTTCGCGTGTCTCTTTAAAGCTCATCAAATGAAACAATCAAAATTATTAAAACGTTCCAGGAAATGACAATGTGATCAATATATACGGTTTGCAAAGGCCCGAGCGTTTATCAACAGTGAAAATAAGTTTTGTGGGCGATTTCAAAGCGGGAATATCAAAGCGGCATCGTGATTTCAGTTTTCAGGATTTACTAGAAAGAGACAGAAGGGCGAAAGTGTGTTGCGTATCGGACAGATTAGGGATCCGTAAAGGTTATGCATACATAATATTGACATACATTTTTTGAACACAGGGTGCCCATAATATTCATCAAAGGACAATAGGAATGATATCAATGTCTACATGTCGAGTGAGACTGCCATGGAATTAACTTAGAAATGACTTGCATCGTTTCCGCATTATGCATCATTACAAATGTTTTGCTTATTTTTTTTGTAAACCCATATATAATTAAATGTTTTAAATTTTGCAGAATAATTATGCGAACTTTTAGGACAGACATACAAATATTGCTATTTTAAGTGTTTTATATCAAATGTTTAATGAATTTAGATATCATTATATTGTCGTACCTTTGATTTTCTTTATACTTCTATCCTCCTTCCTCTCCATAGAGTCAAGTCTAGCCAATATAGCTGTAAATATAATGACATATGAATAATATATAATTTCTTTATTTTTATGGACACTTTTCTGTTTAAATTACACAAGAACCGGTTGAACCGGGTGATGCTCCCCGCGAAGGTTTTGGACACAGGAAAGTATAAAAAAAATGAACAAAGGGCAAAAACTCCAAAATTAGGCAAGGCGGAGTTATGTTTTTTTGCACTGCACTTCTATTCAATGATATCTATCTATCTTTAAAGTTTCCTGATGATATCTCTTATAGTTTCAAAGTTATGTCCCGGGTAAAATTCAAAGTGAAAAGTGAATAAAGGGCGAAAAGTGAATAAAGGACAATAACTCCAAAATTAGACAAGGCTTTGTTTAGGTTCTTTAAGCATTGCAGTTCTTTCCAATGATATCGATCCACCTACAAAGTTTCATGTTGATATCTCTAATAGTTTTAGAGTTATGTCCCGGACAAAAGTCAAAAAGTAAAAGTAAACAAGGGGCAATAACTTCAAAATAAGGCAAGGCAGAGTTAAGATTCTTTAGCACTGCACTTCTACCCAATGAGACTTCTCTATCTACAAAGTTTCATGTTGAGATCTCTTATAATTTTAGAGTAATGTCCAAGACAAAGTTCAAAGTGTCAAAATGAACAAAGGGCAATAACTCCAAAATTAGGCAAGACAGAGTTACGGTTCTTATGCACTACACACCTAATTAATGAGATCTATCTACCTACAAAGTTTCAAGTTGATACCTCTTATAGTTTTATAGTTATGTCCCGGACAAAGTTAAAGTGTGAAAATAAACAAAGGGGAATAATTCACAAATTAGGCAAAGCAGAGTTTTGGTTCTTGTGCACTGTACACCTACTCAATGAGATCTATCTATCTACAAAGTTTCATGTTGATACCTCTTTTAGATTTAGAGTTATGTCCCGGACAAAGTTCAAAGTGTAAAAAATAAACAAAGGGGGGGGGGTAATTCAAAAATTAAGCAAGGCAGAGTTACGGTCCTTGTCCAATCAACACCTACCCAATGAGATCTATTTACCAACAAAGTTTCATGTTAATACCTCTTATAGTTTTAGAGTTATGTACAGGACAAAGTTCAAAGTGTACAATAAACAAAGGGGAATAATTCACAAATTAGGCAAAGCACTGTTATGGTTCTTGTGCACTGCACACCTACTTAATCAAATATATCTACCTACAAAGTTTTATGTTGATATCTCTAATAGTTTTAGAGTTATGTCCCGGACAAAAGTCAAAAAGTAAAAGTAAACAAGGGGCAATAACTTCAAAATAAGGCAAGGCAGAGTTAAGATTCTTTAGCACTGCACTTCTACCCAATGAGACTTCTCTATCTACAAAGTTTCATGTTGATTTCTCTTATAATTTTAGAGTAATGTCCCAGACAAAGTTCAAAGTGTCAAAATGAACAAAGGGCAATAACTCCAAAATTAGGCAAGACAGCATTACGGTTCTTGTGCAGTACATACCTAATTAATGAGATCTATCTACCTACAAAGTTTCAAGTTGATACCTCTTATAGTTTTATAGTTATGTCCCGGACAAAGTTCAAAGTGTGAAAATAAACAAAGGGGAATAATTCACAAATTAGGCAAAGCAGAGTTACGGTTCTTGTGCACTGTACACCTACTCAATGAGATCTATCTACCTACAAAGTTTCATGTTGATACCTCTTTTAGTTTTAGAGTTATGTCCCGGACAAAGTTCAAAGTGTAAAAATAAACAAAGGGGGATAATTCAAAAATTAAGCAAGGCAGAGTTACGGTCCTTGTCCAATCAACACCTACCCAATGAGATCTATTTACCTACAAAGTTTCATGTTAATACCTCTTATAGTTTTAGAGTTATGTACAGGACAAAGTTCAAAGTGTACAATAAACAAAGGGGAATAATTCACAAATTAGGCAAAGCAGAGTTACGGTTCTTGTGCACTGCACACCTACTCAATGAAATCTATCTACCTACAAAGTTTTATGTTGATACCTCTTATAGTTTTATAGTTATGTCCCGGACAAAGTTCAAAAAGTAAAATAAACAAAGGGGGATAATTTACAAATAAGGCAAGGTAGAGTTACGGTTCTTAAGCACTGCATACCAACTCAATGAGATCTATCTACCTACAAAGTTTCATGTGAATACCTCTTATAGTTTTAGAGTTGTGTCCAGGACAAAGTTCAAAGTGTAAAATAAACAAAGGGGAATAATTCACAAATTAGGCAAGGCAGAGTTACGGTTCTTATTGCTCGGACGGACGGACGTTCTTACCAGAGCTACATTATGGGGTTCTCTTTTGTTATTTCTTTTGTTCTTTTTAACCCACCAATGCAGAAAATAACCCAACTAGAGAAACGGAATTAATGACATCAAAGACATCTATTGTTATAAGAACAATAGACCAAACCCATAATGTAGCTCTGGTTTGTACGGACAGACGGACGGACGGACAAGGCTGCGACTTTATGCTCCCCCGAAATTTTTCGAGGAGCATAAAATTACTCTAACTGATATCTGATATACATATTTCTAATTTGAAAGCACTTTCATACTTACAAAAATATTTCAATTAATTGGACCAATTTAAATTATCTTCTTTATAGATATTACAGATGAGTTTTAAGTCTTTAAAATTTAAAAAAGAACAGAAAGAAAAATGTTACCATCTTTCATTTCGCGAATACTTTTTTCATGTTCGTTCATCTTGTCAAGCACTACTTGGAAAAGGTCCTCTTGGTTCTCTAAATGTCTCTTTAGGTCTTCAGGACTGAAAGGATCGTTAGTGCATTCCTTTATAATGTCATCACATTCATTTTTCTTGTCGTTTCCTATCGAATTTGACAAAGACAAATATGCTTTCTCTAACTGCCCGCGTATATCATCATAATCATCGTTGCTTAGTGAAGAGGATGGATTGTGAGCATAAACTTCATCTCTAATAGTCTTAATTGTTTTTAAATGATCTTTCTGGTCATCATCAAAAGAGTTTTTGAAGACTGTTAGCAGGACAGTGACAAGCATTGCTATGTCCCATACTTCTATATTAGTTCCAGTGCCATATTGAGGAAACAACTTTTCTCTTTGCTTTTTCAAAGTTCTATAGTAGAGTTTCTTTTCGAACGGTTTTAGAAGATCGTCAATGTTTTTGCCAGACTTATTCACTTCTATATTCAGTATTTCTTTTGACACCAATGTACCCCCTTTAAGCAGCAATAAGGAAACTCTTAAAAAGTTTTCGTCTTCTTTCACCATGGTTGATTAGTCTAAAATACATGAAAAAGTGCATATTCTCACTAACTAGTTAGAAAATTCGTAAAAATTACTTATACGAGGGCCATGGTGGCGCTCATCTTAGATGCATTGATGGAAGAGAATTTCAATTGTCAAATGTTAAAGTGAGTTATAAAGTTTGTAATTTTTTACCTATAATTTTCAGAATAAATCTAGATGGCCCCTATGAAACGCAACGTTCAAAACATATTAGTTCTAGTCATTGATTCTATATAGAAATATCCAATCTCCACATTTCTACAAGAAAATTAAACTGTGTTTTGCTTTATTGATTAAAGGATCAATATTGAGTTTATGAATGCAATGAATTTCGATCAACTTGATCTTTTCTAAAAGCAGGTTTATTCATATACAAATGTATATGACTGTGGATTTAAGTTTTTAATGCACATTGAAACTTAAACTTGTATGTTATATTTGATGTTATTACCATACATAAGTGAAACTTTAAATATGTATATAATTATGCTTCTAAAACAATTTCAGACATCAAAGAATATGTAAAATATGCACTGCAAATATTTGTAACATTATATGTAATCACTAAAATATACGCATTCATTTCTTATTAAAAAATTTGACTTAGACTTTATAGAAAATAAATTTCTAATTACCTTCTCTTTATTAAAATGAAATGTAAATTCGGTCATATCTTTACAAATACTGCATTTTGGAACTTACAATATTGATAAATCTATATTTGAGCATTATATTTATGATATTAAAACATAAAAAATGAGTTACATGATCTTTATACATGTCGCCGCGATCATAACCAGAGGTCACTAAACAAGACACATGATATTGATATGGATTTTAACAATTTTAACATTTTCTAAGTCAAGAAGGGCAATGATTTAATCAAAATCCTTTTAAGAGTCATAAACCTTAGATAAAGAATGCAAAATAGAAGAAAAAGTTTGTAGTGAATACGTTCAGTAGTTTTTATGATCGCTGTTGCATGCAAATTATAAAGTAAGAAATTCAAAAAAGTGTCATTATGTCGTTAAAAATTCACTGCAGAGTTATTGGCCTCGGATTGTGACCTCAAATAATCACCCAAAAGACTTTTCTTATGTTTCAAGTGAATTCCTTAAGTAATAAGACTGATGGTACAAGCAATATATTCTCTTGTAAATTCAAAAAGGACCATAATATACGTCCCTTGAAGATCGTTCAGCACAACATTATTGTTGTGTATACATGTTATGTGGTACTTTAAGTTTCTTCTATTTGGGCATTATCAACTTTGGTGGTTCCAGTATTCCTACTTGAATACTGTATAATCACGCTTAGAATATGTTTCCTGCTTTTTAAATTTGTCTTTTGACGCTTTATCTGTGATATGCAGGCTTAATAACCTCAGATCCCCTTTCAAAATTCCATTTTTATTTAGTTTTGCCCATTATTTTTTCGTGTAGGGCAAAAACATTCTTTTACATGGGGACCATACGCAGCTTTTCATGGAATGAGCACTACTGTGTCACATTGAAGGTTCCATGATAACCACCAAATGAACACATCTGCGGATGTTTAAATTCAAAATTTCACCTATTTCGAATTGAATATTGAATTCTGCTTAAGCAGGTGCTAGGGGGCATGGACGGTAACTTGCACTTTCCAGTACCGTCCATGAACAGGCTCAATCAAACCGAGCCTGCAACATTTTCAATTTTGTTGTGTTGGACTTTCTTTAGGGATTCTGTTTTTCTCTATTTTATTCACGTTTGAGATATGGTCCTTAAAAATGACCTTCTACTATGCTCTAAAGTAAGTGGGCGAGGTATCAACCCATTCCCTTCTTTCGCTTTAAACATTTTGGAGATGCCATCTTGCATGCAAAGCTTAACCGAAACTGCCGCCTAGGTGAGAACAAAAGTTTTCCCTTCTTTGAATATTCTGACTAAACTACTAAATGAGGTTCGCAAAAACAAACTGATATTCCGTAATAAAATAGTTCTGATAGGAAATTGTGAAACGTAATTTGGTCTTTAAGTTTAAGTGTTTAACAATTACAATGACAGGATTCAAGTGCAGTAAAGCATGCATAATTATGCTCACCTTCATTTAATCCAAGTAATGAGTATAATTTTGATATAAACTACCATTTATTTGGCAATGGTGATTGCAAGATAATCATGATTTTGTGCAAGTATGGATCAAATCCGTCAGTACATAACAAAGTTATAAAATTTTAAGCAAATAAGACAATTATTTGACCTTGTCAAGGTCATTTTTGAGGTATTCAAAATGTCTGTTTTATTAACACGCTTTCTTTTCTCAGGGTATGAATGAAACCTACAAATAAATGACAAAGTTATAGCCAGTTGTAATCACAATTCAAAGATAAACCGTTTATTGATTGCAAAATAATTACAGCAAATTAAAGCAAAATTAAAAAAAAAACTATAAATTGACCTATTGATTACAAATTGTCTGACCCGGACATGACAATGACATGTGCATATCCTTTTACGTATTGGTGGTTTCAAGTTTTGTTGGAAGCAGGCAATCAATTAATTAGAAATAGGGCGGAAACAAAAGTTACTCTGGTTACACACCTTTTTTTAAAAAACGTTTTGTTGAAATCCAGTAAACGAGTGCATAGAAATAGCTGGGAAACAAATATTACCATGCATTCATACTGAATAACTAATCAGGGGCCATAACTAAAAATTGAATGGTTCCACCAGGACAGGCAAATCCTAATAAAATCGAATGTTTCACCAAAGTTTCAATTAAATCCAGTCAGTAGTTGTCAAGAACTATTGCGAAAACGAATACGGACAGACGGAAATAAGGACAGATGGTTGGACAATGCCAAACAATGCCCCCATTCGGATTCCATTTACGAGGGATAACAAATTTAAAAAAAGTCTTACAATACTGAAAATACATTAGAACTCATTGGGAAATAGACTTCCCAGATAGAAAATCCCATATAACAACAATTGTACAATGATTATAAACTGTTTTTAGCTTCTGATACTCTGAAAGGTCAGTGTAAATATGAAAGACAAAGGTTAAGGTCGCTGGTTTACAGACGACATATAAACATCATGTTATATTTTCTCGTTTTTTTTTGTTGTTGTTTTTTTGGACTTGAATGGAAATGCAAGCAGATGCACTTAGTTACACATAACTGTTTTCGCTTTTCCACTTAAATACATAGTCGCATGTTCGCCTTCCGACTGAACAAGGGCGTTTGCACATCAATGGCAACGGAGAGTGCTTACAAAATATAGTAGTAAAAATAATTGTTAATAGAATGTATCCCTGTAGTTTGAGTTTAAATTCAACTTGCTTTCTGAATTTGAATCAATTTTTCCCTTGCGGTGGCGTCTGATTAACACAAGAGCGACACACGACACATTGTCTCAATATGGTGATCATTTCTGTGAAATAGTTGTAAAATCTGACTTCAAATAACGAAGTTATGGGCCTGACATGATTTTGCTGCAAGGTCATGCTGTGACCTTGACCTTCAAGGTAGCGACCCAAATGTTGCGCGCGACACGTCGTCTAAATATGGTAATAATTTCTGTGAAATAGTTTTAAAATCCGACTTCAAATAACAAAGTTATGGGCCCGACACGAATTCGGGACGTACGTACGGACGGACTGACGGACGGAAGGACTGACTGACGAACGGACGGACAACCCGCCGACTATTTGCTCCAATGACCAATCAACATACCAAGTTTGAAGTTCCTAGGCCTAAGCGTTCTTTAGTTATTGATCGGAAACCGTTTTTACCTACAAGGTCAATGTGACCTTGACCTTTGACCCCTTGACCCCAAAATCAATAGGGGTCATCTGCTGGCCATGACCAATCACCATACCAAGTTTGAAGTTCCTAGGCCTTATTGATCGGAAACCGGACACGAATTCGGGACGTACGTACGGAAGGACTGACGGACGGACGGACATTCTTACCAGAGCTACATTATGCGGTTTTCTTTTGTTTTGTTTTTTTTTGTTCTTTTTAACCCCATAATGCAGAAAATAACCCCGCAGGAGAAACGGAATGAATGACATCAAAAACATCTATTGTTATGAGAACAATAGACCAAACCCCATAATGTAGCTCTGGTTTGTACGGACTGACGGACGGACGGACAACCGGACGACTATATGCTCCCCCGAAATTTTTCGGGGAACATAATAAAAACATCAAAATGGCATTTATCACCTTCACCTACAACATTTAAGTCAAACCTTTTCGTTGCTGTATTCTTTTGTTCAAGAAAAACACATATTCATTCATAATCTCGCCCATTCGTTCGTCGATTCATTCGTTTGCTTTCATTTGTTCATATGTTTTTTCGTTCGTAAGTTCATTTGTTCACTCGTTCGTGAATTAGTTCATTTATTTATTTATTATTTGATAGCATAGAAGCTCTAGAAATTCGTATTGATTAATTGAATGATTGACTGATTGATTGATTGATTGATTGATTGATTGATTGATTGAATCCACATATATGACTTAGATTATTTATAACATCTGACTACATATATACTTTATATACATGCCAGCATCAAGATATGATGTACCTTCTTCAACATTGAAATTTAATAGTACGCCAGGCCCAAAATATGAAAATAATGAGTATCAAATAAGAATCTACATGTCGTAAAATTAAATAAAGAACATATAAATTTAAGCAATTTAGAAACTTGTAAAAAAAGTCTGAATATTGAAATAATACTTCGAGTAGTTAACGTCAACTTAAAAAAATCAAACCCGTTCTTGATAATGTCCTGCTAGTAGACCCTACCATCTATGTTTATTAAACTAACGTATACATGTAAAGTTGCTAAATGCTGCTAAAACTGTTTTTGCACTGATTGAGTAAAATAATATAATATTTTTACGGATTAGTCAGTCTAAATCCGCGGTTTGTCATTCGCAAGCCGAAGTTATAGCGGACACTTGAGTGTACACCGTGACTTTGCTATTTTTACACACATTGTTTATTTGTGCATTATCATTTTACCGTATGCCACTTAAGAGCATTGTAGTGTTTGTGCAGACGATTGAAATATCTATTTATATTTGAATGAACACTATAATACCGTTTGTTTTTTACTATATTGCATATGCATTGCGAGATACTTTTAGTTAACAAATATTGTTTTCTTCACTTGCTTCCACTCATAATTATCAAAACGCTATCATTGTCATTATCAAAAATGCCAATTTTAACAAAATAGGTAATTATGCGTTGGATTTAACATCTTGACAAAAAAAAATATCGCTCAATAATCAAGATATTCTGATACAGACTTTTGTTGTGTTTGTAAACAAACTGGCGCAATATTTGCACAAGAATATTGTTTGATTTTATTAACCTGTCAATTCCATACTCATTATACGGTCAATGCATAGAATATATTAATATTCGATAAATGTTCGGTAAATTTCGTGAGAGGTACGCAGTAAGATGTGATTAAATTCATCTAGTTTCCATGAATTAGTTACACTGACCGTTATAGCGCAATAGGGTAAACCACGGGTATATAATATCAAAATGTCCTGCATCATGTAAGATCGAGACAGTGTATGTCCATGTTTTTTTCTTTTTCATATCTAATTTCAAAATTTTTGAAGTTATGGTTGTTCTGTTTTTAATATGTTTTGTACTCTTTTGTAAATACTATATTTTTGTATATAATTGATACTGAAAATTCATTCGGATTATAATCAATAAATGTAATTTCAGTGCGGTAAAATACATTACAAAATGTGACAATTCAGTGTTTCTTAGTTGTTTCATTCCGTGTAGACAATTTTGCAAGCGCTTGACAATTTTCTTTAAAATATACATAAAATAAAGAGAGAATACGTCTAAAAAGAATGTCAAACAAGAGGGCCATGATGGCCCTAGATCGCTCACCTGACTTATCAAACTCATCCAAACAATTACCTAGACAAGCATTCTGACCAAGTCTCATGACAGGTGAGTCAAAAATGTGACCACTACAGTATTAACAAGGATTATCCATATTTGAGCAGTGCGACCTAGTTTTTTACCCAGGTGACACATATTCAAACTTGACCTAGAAATCATCAAAACAAACTTTCAGACCAATTTCCAGGATACTTGGATCAAAACAGTAGCAACTAGAGTGTTAACAAGATTTTTCTATTTTTAGCTCCGGTGACCTAGTTTCAACTGCGATTTCGAACTCATCCAAGCAATTACCTAGACAAGCATCCTGACCAAGTTTGATGATAATTGAGTCGAAAATGTGACCACTAGAATGTTAACAAGGTTTTTCCATATTTGGGCGGTGTGACCTAGTTTTTCATCCAAGATGACCCATGTTCGATCTTGACTTAGAAATCATCAAAACAAACTTTCAGACCAATTAACAGAATATTTGGATCACAACAGTAGCCACTAGAGTGTTAACAAGATTTTTCTATTTTTAGCTCCTGTGACCTAGTTTTTCATCCGAGATGTCCCATGTTCGATTTATTCCCAGCAATGACCTAGACAAGTTTCCTGACCAAGTTTAATGACAATTGAGTCAAAATTGTGACCACTAGAGTGTTAACAAGGTTTTACTATTTTTAGCTCTGGTGACCTATTTTTTCATCCGAGATGACCCATGTTCGAACTCGTCCGAGCTATCACCTAGACAAGCATCTTGATGAAGTTTGATGATGATTGATACAAAAATGTGACCGCTAGAGTGTTAACAAGGTTTTTCTATTTTTAGCTCCGGTGACCTACTTTTTCATCGGAGATGACCCATGTTCAAACTCATCCGAGCTGTCACCTAGACAAACATCTTGACAAAGTTTGATGATGACTGATGCAAAAATGTGACCACTAGAGTGTTAACAAGGTTTTTCTATTTCTAGCTCCAGTGACCTACTTTTTCATCCGAGATGACCCATGTTCAAACTCATCCGAGCTATCACCTAGACAAGCATCTTGACCAAAGTTGATGATGATTGATGCAAAAATGTGACCGCTAGAGTGTTTACAAGGTTTTTCTATTTTTAGCTCCGGTGACCTACTTTTACATCTGAGATGACCCATGTTCGAACTCATCCAAGCTATCAACTAGATAAGCATCCTGACCAAGTTTGATGATGATTGATGCAAAAATGTGACCGCTAGAGTGTTAACAAGGTTTTTCTATTTATAGCTCCGGTGACCTAGTTTTTTTCATTCCGAGATGACCCATATTCGAACTCATCCGAGCTATTATCTAAACAAGCATCCTGACAAAGTTTGATGATGATTGGGTCAAAAAATGTGACCACTAGAGTGTTCACAAGGTTTTTTCTATTTTTAGCTCCTGTGACCTAGTTTTTCATCAGAGATGACGCATGTTCGAACTTATCCAAGCAATTGACTAGACAAGCAATCTGACCAAGTTTTGATGAAGATTGGTTCAAAAATGTGACCACTAGAGTGTTCACAAGGTTTTTCTATTTTTAGCCCCGGTGACCTACTTTTTCATTCGAGATGACCCATGTTCGAACTCATCCGAGCTATCACCTAGACAAACATCCTGACCAAGTTTGATGATGATTGGGTCAAAAATGTGACCTCTAGAGTGTTCACAAGGTTTTTCTATTTTTAGCTCTTGTGACCTAGTTTTTCATCCGAGATGAGCCATGTTCGAAATCATCCGAGCTTTCAACTAGATAAGCATCCTGACCAAGTTTGATGATGATTGAGGCAAAAATGCGACCGCTAGAGTGTTCACAAGCAATTGTGGACGTACGACGGACGACGGACGACGGACGGACGGACGACGGACGACGGACATTCACCGATCCTAAAAGCTCACCCTGAGCAAGCTCAGGTGAGCTAAAAAGGGATCGAACCTCGGACCTCTCATACATTAGGTAAATACTTAACCGACTGTGCTATTGTGGGTGTTACGAGAACCTTCATTAAGTTAGTGGGAGTTTTCCAAACGTTAGTGATATACTCCATATTAATTCTCGTAAAATAAACGGACAAAACCGAAGTGGGATCGAATATTTAAATGAGTGCTATAATGTATTCATTATTGACAGGTCAATAAAATCAGACTATACAAATATTGCATCTATTCTCTCTTTTGTGTTCAATATCGTTTCATATACAGACATACTTCTATATCAAGACAACTATTAAACAGTATTCTACTGCACTGGACCACCTAGGGTTAATGAGATGAACATATGATCTTATCAGATGACCAAGCAGAACGCTAAAAGTATCCTATCAGAGTGGCCGCAGTTAACTTCTCTTAATTTATGTGTTTATGTGTTAATTATTAGAATTAGGATTTATTCAATTATTCTTGTTAAATGGATTAATACAATTACGTAATAACTTTTGTAAAATGGATTAAATACCGGATTTGTTTGTAATTTGATTTAAAGTGGCAATGTTTTGGATATAACAATTGCCTTCTGCTTTTGATTTGATTATCCATTTATATTTTCCACATGGATTGCTACAAGAATGGGCAAAGTGTTCAGTTCCAGTAGGGAATTTCACTTTTCAAGAAGCCCAACAGTCGCTATAACCAGTACAGTAGGTACTGAGGCGTACTGCGACGACCCCAGAGTTTGCGGACAGTAGGTCCAATATAACTCTGCAACAAAAATTGGAAAGTCTAGAGTTTGCGGACAGTAGGTCCAATATTAACTCTGCAACAGATTAGGAAAATCTGTTTCGTCATCATGGAATGATGGACAACAGTATGAAGCCTTGGCCATCTGCAACACAGATGATTGACCTTCCAAGTTTTATGCTACAACTACTACTACAACAACAAAGACAATATTGCTTTAACTTGAAGTTAACAAGACATAAAATTAATAATATACTATTTAACAATTTAATTTCTTGAGCCGCGAACATACCAAATTCATGTTTCTTAGGCCAACGAAATGCACATGTCACAGCTTATAATTTATAAGACTCTTATTCTATTAGTGAAAAAGATCTGCAGTATCTCACTGTTTTAAATCTTACTTGATATAAGAAAATATCAGCTCTTGCTAACAAAATATAATTCTATGATACCAATTGTGTTTAGTTGGGTAACTGTATGATAAGTTATAATAACAATTATTTGATTTAAAGATATAATATGCTCAAATTTTGTATTTTTAAATATTGATAATTGCTGCACAGTCTCTTTTTAAATATAAAATAAACATGTTTTAAGATATCTTATGTCTTAAACTATACACAATTTAGATGTAAAAAAATACTGGCAGTTTTTTCTTTTAAGAAAGGATCAACTTTACTTGACCTGTAATAGGACATGCAGCTTCCCACACACAGTTTGTACATTCTTTTATTAAAATTAGACATATTTAGAAAAAAATACATAGATTTCAAATAATTTCTGGGATAAAAATATTTTACTCTCAGATGAGTATAGTATATCTTTAACATGCTTTTGGGCGGATGAACAGTAACTTGCATTTTACAGTATCATCTTTGAACAGGCTCATTCAAACCAAGCCTGCAACATTTTCAGTTTTGCTGTTTTGGGCGTATTGTAGAGATTTTATTTGCACACAAAAATGGTTTTATATAAGAGGAATATTCTGGAGTAAGTTTTGCCTAGAAATGTCAAGAACTGTGTACTCCAAATTTGTTACATAAGAGGGAATATTTTGGAGCTAGTTTTGCATAAAAATGTCAAGAACTGTGTACTCCAAATTTGTTATATAAGATGGAATATGCTGGAGCTAGTTTTGCATAGAAATGTCAAGAACTGTGTACTCCAAATTTGTTATATAAGATGGAATATGCTGGAGCTAGTTTTGCATAGAAATGTCAAGAACTGTGTACTCCAAATTTGTTATATAAGAGGGAATATGCTGGAGCTAGTTTTGCATAGAAATGTCAAGAACTTTGTACTCCAAATTTGTTATATAAGAGGGAATATGCTGGAGCTAGTTTTGCATAAAATGTCAAAACCGTGTACTACAAATTAGTTATCTATATAAAAGTGAATATGCTAGAGAAATTTTTGCAATAAATATCAAAACCTGAGTTCTCCAAATTTGTTATATAAGATGGAATATGTTGGAGCAAGTTTTGCATAAAAATGTCAAAACCCGCGAGTACTCCAAATTTGTCATAAAAGAAGCAAATTTTGCATAGATTGTCAAAACCTGAATACTCCAAATTTGTTATATAGGAAGATCAAATATGCTGGAAAAAGTTTTGCATAGTAATGTCAAAAACTGTGACTCCAAATTTGCTCTTGGGAAAACGCACGTTTGGAGCTGATCTTATGAAGGAATTGTTTACTTTCCTTACGGAAAGTAAACATGTGCACATATTAAATAACATTGGTTGTATATAGTGAGGGGTTAGAAAAGCAGGGAGTGAGTACATATACAAGAAAGAAAACAGAATGTGAGTATGCACTGTTTTTACAATACTCTAGAAACACTTCGAAATACCTTGAACATTGTAAGTTGATAACTTTCAATGACAGTTCAATAATGAAATTTATATTGAATAATTCTTTACCTGTATATCTCACTGACAATGTCGATTGTAAAGTACTTGCTTTTATTTCTAAGAAAATGACATGTCATTCGAAATGAAAGAACATGAAATAAGATATGAAAAGTTTTTAGTGAAGATAATAAACATTTAATCACTCAAATATTTTTCTATCCAGAATTTTCTTCGACTGAAAGGTGTATATAGACATAGCTAAATGCATAATTAAATACATGTTTGATGTAGTTTGCATGTATTGAAATTTTTGCTCAAGCTTACTACAGTAAAACATAGAAAATAAATAAATGAATTAATGAACTAATAAGATGGGAAAAAAAAATCTTAGTAATCATTTGCACTTGTCTTTCACTTTTGGACAAACCTACGAAACCAATGTTTTACCATTCATTACAATAATGATAGTTTATACAAAGCTCTAATGTGCAGTATTTTAGATGGTTTAGATAAGGTTGATAATTTGGGATTTACTGTATACATGTAGTACATCTTCAGATAAATCTCTCACTGGACCCTCTCAGTGAATTGTTTTTGTTAGGGTTTATCATCAGACTTATCCCTGGGAAAACAGCAGGTACTAATAGCCGTGCCTGGTTTGTAGGTCAAACATATGTCTTAATTTGATTTGTTTGTTTGCAAGGAGGGGTTGCTAATTAACCTTCACTGTGTTATGATCCATGGCACTATAAATCACTCAGAGAGGGATTTGTGTCGGACCTATCAACAAAATCTTGATTGTGCTAGGGCTGTCAAAGTGTCATTAAAATTTTGATTTAAAAAAAAAAATAAAAAAAATAAGGGTACTGAATGAAACAACAAGTTTCAATGAAAATATTAATTATATCATGAAAACTGCTATTTAGACTATGAAACATTTCTACGGTTGATGAGCGCATTTATATTTGTAGTCTGCATGTTAATTAGTCAACTAAAAATGTTATAAAATTTGAAAAAGAAATGGCAGATAAGTTAATAATATGTCATTATATGTAGATGTGGTACAGTACTCGTCATTGCCCGGGGAAAGGAAAACACTAAGCAGATTATTCTACCAAATGGCATGGTCATAGAATTACTTGTTTGGGGTTTTGTTTTCAAACAACTGAATAAGTAAGTGGTGATAAGAGATGAAGCCATTTGTTTTGGTAGTTTTCGTTATCATTTTTGAAATAAATAAATAAATCATTTGATGACTTAATTAACCAATTAATTGATTGATTGATTCCGAACAAAAATAATAATATTAATAATTCAGGAAATATGAACAAATTCATTTGTTTGTTTCATTATATTCTATCCTGTATCGAGTGGAATCGAAAACGTGAACCATAGAAACATGTACTGTAACTGCAATACAGAGCTGATTTTGAAAATAATATACATGTGTTTATTGAAGAAAACATGTATGTGAGAAGTTAGCAGTGAACAGTGAGCTAAGCAAAAAGGCATTTTTATTTATATAGGGAAGTCAATGATCTGCTGTAATGCTCAGCTGTTTTGGGCATCTAGCAGGGCATTCCTAAATATTGTGTTAAAATGCTCTGCTGGAATGCTAAGCTGGCTAGGCAATCTAGCAGGGCATTACTAAATATAGTGAAAAAAATGCTCTGCTGGAATGCTAAGCTGGCTAGGCAATCTAGCAGGGCATTACTAAATATAGTGTAAAAATGCTCTGCTGGAATGCTAAGCTGGCTAGGCAATCTAGCAAGGCATTACTAAATAAAGTGTAAAAGTGCTCTGCTGGCTAGGCAATCTAGCAGGGCATTACTAAATATAGTGTACAAATGCGATTCTGGAATGCTAAGCTGGCTAGGCAATCTAGCAGAGCATTCCTAGTTATAGTGAAAAAAGGCTCTGCTGGAATGCTTAGCTGGCTAGGCAATCTAGCAGGGTGTTACTAAATATAGGGTAAAAGTGCTCTGCTGGAATGCTAAGCTGGGTAGGCAATCTAGCAGGGCATTACTAAATATAGTGTAAAAATGCTCTGGTGGAATGCTAAGCTGGCCAGGCAATCTAGCAGGGCATTCCTAAATATAGTGAAAAAATGCTCTGCTGGAATGCTAAGCTGGCTCAGCAATCTAGCAGGGCATTCCTAAATAAAATGTAAAAGTGCTCTGGTTGAATGCTCAGCTGGCTAGGCAATTTAGCAGTGCATTACTAAATATAGGGTAAAAATGCTCTGCTGGAAAGCTAAGCTTGCTAGGCAATCTAGCAGGGCATTCCTAAATATAGTGTTAAAATGCTCTGCTGGAATGCTAATCTGGATAGCCAAACTAGCAGTGCATTACTAAATATAGTGTAAAAATGCTCTGCTGGAATGTTAAGCTGGCTAGGCAATCAAGCAGGACATTACAATATATAGTGTTAAAATGCTCTGCAGGAATGCTCAGCTGGCTAGGCACTATAGCAGAGCATTCCTTAATATAGAGAAAAAATGCTCTGGTGGAATGCTCAGCTGGCTAGGCAATCTAGCAGGGCATTACTAAATATAGTGTAAAAATGCTCTGCTGGAATGCTAAGCTGGCTAGGCAATCTAGCAGGGCATTACTAAATATAGTGTAAAAATGCTCTGCTGGAATGCTAAGCTGGCTAAGCAATCTAGCAGGGCATTCCTAAATAAAGTGTAAAATTGCTCTGCTGCAATACTCAGCTGTCTTGGCAATCTAGCAGAGCATTACTAAATATAGTGTAAAAATGCTCTGCTGGAATGCTAAGCTGGCTAGGCAACCTAGCAGAACATTCTGAAAAATAGTGTGAAAATGCTGTGTTGGATAAGCAATCTTGCGGTGCATTCTGAATTATAGTATTAATAAGCTCTGCTGGAATGCTCAGCTGGCAGACTGATTCTGAGTTCCAGGATTTATTGTTGCCAACGTTTTATTGACATTTTCGACTTCTAGGCACTTCTGAGGCACTCGCAGACTTTCAGGAATTTTTGGTGCCAATAGAAATAATGATATTTTTGACTTCTAAGGACCTTTAAGAGACTATTTCATTGTCCTGCGACTTTTTGATGGACACTCGCAGACTTTCAGGAATTTTGGTGCCAATGCTGATATTGACAATTTAGACTTCTAGGGACCCTCAAGAGTCCATTTTGTTGGTCTGCGACTGATTCTCGGACACTCGCAGACTTTCAGGAATGGTTGGTGCCAATGGAAATAATCATATTTTTGACTTCAAGGGACCTTTAAGAGTCCATTTCATTGGCCTGCAGCGTATTTTTGGACACTCGCAGACTTTCAGGAAAGTTTGGTGCCATTAGAGATGATGGCAATTTTTACTTCTAGGGACCCGTCAGAGTCCATTTTTTATGGTCTGCGACTGATTCTGGGACATTCGCAGACTTTCAGGAATCTGTGGTGCCAATGGAGATAATGACATTTTTGACTTCTAGCGACCCACCAGAGCTCATTTCGCTGGTCTGCGACTGATTTTGGGACACTCGCAGACTTTCAGGAATTTTGATGCCAATGGAGATAATGATATTTCTGACTTC